CAGGGTATTTCCGCCAGTCGCTGTCGTACTGAATAGTATCAGGAGTTAATAATAACAAATTAACCCCCGATCATATGTAAGTCTTCGGTATAGGTCAATGATTCGTACATGTTTCTGTTATAATATGATGAACCAATTTGCGTTGATGTTCGTGTACTCCACTATGTAAATCGTTGTAAGGATAGCAATCGTAAAATTAAATGCCGCATTTACAACCTAATAAAGAAAATGCCCTAAATTACGGATAGCAGACATAATTGAAATCAATAATACATGCCGGTTGCTTGACGGGAAAATAATTGACAACTGCTGGTAAGAACCAGGAATAAATGATCTTCTGGAAACTACTTAATTATTTAAACACAAGGCAAATGCATAATAATTATTTTAAAAATAGCAGCAGGTGATCTCTGTGTTGTTTTCCCCCCTCCCCCTCCTCTCTCTCTCTCTCTCTCTCTCTCTCTCTTTCTCTCTCTCGCGCGCTCTCTCTCTCTCTTATATATATGTATATAATTATATATCATATTGGCATGAGAACGGCAGTGTCACCATTGCACACTACGTGTCTTGTGAAATTGTCTGTCAAATTGTGTGTTAAATGTTAATACAGTTACTATTGACAATAATATATAGTTGGTAGATTTGAAACTATATAGACACTGAAATAGGTATATGTTGCATTAAATCCCAACAATAACTCAGTGCTTACGGTATTTAGGTTACATAATGTTTCACACCATTGCAGTGTACAAGTATTCAATAAGAATGGAACAAAAATGTTCCATCAGATTTACATTTGTATGTCATATATAGGCAATTGAGTGCTCCAATTCTTGTTCTACATGTCCTACTAGTCTACGCTAAAAACGTGTGCGTCAGGTTCAACACCTTGTCAAGTTATCATTCCGTCTGTCTATCGTCTTGTCTGTCTTGTCTGCTCGTCTCGTCTTGTCTGACTATCGTCTAACATTTGTCTACTAGTCAAAATGCTAGCGAAGTTCTACCCTCACATACAAATGCAAATTAATGTTATGCTCATAAATCAATGAATGTATAGGTTGCTTCTGAAGAAATGTCAACTTTGTTATCAGACACTAACTAATGCTACAATATTAAATTTATCTACTCTTTTTCTTTCGTACTGAACTTAGATTATAATTCTATCGGTGTCGGTATCGATTCGTATCGTAATCACATTTTCACCGTATGTTTTCACCGTATGTTTCACCGGCGTATTTTTCACCGGCGTGTGTTTGTTCGTTTGTGTGTTTGTGGGTTTGTGGGTTTGTGGGTTTGTGGGTTTGTGTACAGCCTAACTGTAAAAGTTATGGACGGATTGTCATAAAATGTTCACGATAGGTCAGAAATGGGCTAACTTAGAATTGATGAGATTTTGGTGGTGATCCGGATCCAATTAATTAATTAATTAATAATATTTTCAGGATAGGTTACAAATGGGGTAACTTAGAATTGATTATATTTTGGTGGTGATCCGGATCCAATTAATTAATTAATTAATTAATAACATTTTCAGGATAGGTTACAAATGGGGTAACTTAGAATTGATTATATTTTGGTGGTGATCCGGATCCAATTAATTAATTAATTAATTAATTAATTAAATTTTCAGGATACGTCAGAAATCGAGTAACTTAGAATTGATTACATTATGGTCGTCATCCGGATCCAATTAATTATTTAATTAAGGATACTCTCAAGGTTTTAGGAAAATTTTACCGATTTTTCATTTTCAAGTTTATTCGATGGCTAACACTATGTGCCACCTGTGTACATGCTCATTTCTTCATATAACGGTACATGTAAACTGTCAGAGCGTTTTGCTTATCCGCGTACATGTGTAGTGAGGCGCGGCTGACGTCAGAAAAACGCTGATTTCTCCGTTCCAATTTCTGACTTAGTAGTCGATGTATAAATAGATATTTCTCTGTGATTACAACTCGGAATAATTTACTTTTACACTCGTTTTAATGGTAACATATTGCTGTAAAAAAGCGCGTCAGGGATTGTTATTAAGTGTCGTATTTTATGAGTTATGTCTCTTTATTCGCAAAAATTTTAAATTCAAACGTGCGACTTGAATTTTAGGCAGTTTTTTAATTTTTCTCGGTAAATATGTAACTTAAAGAAAAATCCTGATGCGCTATTTTAGTACATATTGTGCTTACACACGTGGCGAAAATTTTGTATCTTCACTTTTTCTGGTAATTGAGAAATATCGAAAATGCCATTTTTACATAAAAATTCAAAATTTGTGTGGTAACATAATTAGGTGCTGGAAATTTCATGACGTTTTTTGTCTTGAGCATAGAGATATATCTCCTCTATAAATAAAACAAGTGATTGATTTGATTCATTTGTCAATAAACGTTTAATCTTTATTAGAGCAATACCTGTGCAAAAGGTTGAGAGTATCCTTAATTAATTGATTAATAACATTTTTCACAGTGACAGAATTCAACTGCCTTGGCGGAGGTCTGTGCTCTCCGAGTGCTCTAGTTAACAATGGATCTATTGCCCATGCTGGGATTTTCTCATATTTTTAGAAATGTCTTACAAGCCGCATCTCTCGGGATCGTATATATATCTCTCTTTCTTTCTCTCTCTCTCTCTCTCTCTCTCTCTCTCTCTCTCTCTCTCTCTCTCTCTTTCTCTCTCTCTCTCTCTATCTATCTATCTATCTTTCGCTCTCTCTTTTCACTTGTTTTCTCTCCCTCTCACACACACTTTCTCACTCGCTCACATACTCTCTCTTTCAATATCAAACCAGTTTGTGACCATATGGTCTACTGGGCTTCATACATGCGAGCGCCTACGCTAGGGAAAGGTGCATCAGCTACGCAAGAGTATATATATATAATTATATATATAATATATATATAATATATAATATCAGGAGTAGAGAATCTCCTCTTCATCTACTCCTGATAATATATATATACTATATATATAATATTATATATATATATATATAATATATATATATATATACTCTCTTGCGTAGCTGATGCCACTCTCCCTAGCGTCGGCGCTCGCATATGAAGCCAGTTAGACCATATGTCACAAACCTGGTTTAATTAAAGAGAGAGTATGGTGAGCGAGTGAGAAAGTGTGTGTGAGGGGGAGAGAAAACAAGTTGAAGGGAGGCAGAGCGAAATAGATAGATAGATAAGAAGAGAACATAGAGAAGAAAGAGGCAGAGAGAGAGAAGAGAGAGAGAGAGAGGAGGAAGAAGAGAGATGAGAGAGAGAGAGAGAAATGAAAGAGAGAGAGAGAGAGAGAGCGCGAGCGAGAGAGAGCGCGAGCGAGAGAGAGCTACTCGCCAGTCTGTGAAATTAAACCGCAAACTAACGGTTAAATGTTTCCTGCGGCGGAGCGGAGGGCTATAGTTCTCAAGCTAAGTAGGCGGCTACTAAACCGGCTCCCCTATCTGCTACGCCTCGGTATAATATATAGCTTTAGGCACTGCCTAAAAACGGAGCTCCCGACAGGTTACTCCACGATAATCCTATCTTACGTGAACGTCCCCAAAGCAGCTAAGAAACAAACATTTGTTGTTTGCGGTCTGTTGCGTTTAAAACCGCACTAATTTTATTGAATCAAACAACTACTCCGTTATTCTTAATCTCTTGTACAATAATTTTTCGTAGAAGAAATAACATTCAGGAAATTGAGCAGTAGATACAGAAATACTAGTGTAGTGGTATTATGCTTTCGGTCCGCGCGGGAGCTCCGCTACTAGGTCAGGAGAGTGTGGGGACACCCAGCAGTATTAAAAGCAAGACCTGGAAAGGGGCGGATGAGCTCCTGCCGATGAGTCACCGGCCATCCACACATTAGTAGAAGTGGCGACCACTAATGTCTCTCCAGCAACTGAAAAACACATGATGCGGACAACCACACAAACCTCACACAGCATCGCTCGTTGCTCGGGTCAACAAGGAGCGCGGTGTCTAGTGGGCAACCAGGCTAGCATGCAGCAACAAGTATGCTACTAGAATTGAAACATGAAAACTTGTAACATTCAACATCATACAATCAACATCATTCAATGTCAGAACAATGAACAGCGTCAACAATCCAAATGATCGAGTTCGTCGCCGTATCTGAGAAAATGCAAATTGATTCACTCTAGCGCGTGAAGGTTAGTGTCTTTGGGTTTAATTTAAGCGCCCACTCGTCTCGCGCGCGTAGAACGAGAAAGGTATTTATATTTACGCATGCAGAGCAATAATGTCTGTCTATTAATAGTTACCACCGGTGTTGTTTTGCATGCAGCCACACTAACCACGTTTTTTCCGCAACAAACCCAACAATTCCAGACGTATCGTTCAGCTCGTCTCTTGACGACCAGTTTTAATGATACGCTAGCTGCTGGTTTCAATTAGGTAGCAACACAACGCAAGGCCGACGAACACAGCCCACTACGAACGAAGGACTGCAATATCAATTGTCTTGTGTAATTGTGGAAACCTAACTACTCTACGCACACGTGCTGCCCCATTCATATGAATTATAATATCACCTAGCTTTGTTTCCTTTTTGTGATAATTCATTGTTCATCGTACTGTGTAATTAATACCTTTCTCTTTAGTGTATAATGTAAGAATGCAGTTTTTAATGGGCCACCGCCTGAACCTTATAAAATGTTGTTATTAGGTAACCTAATGCGCAAATGATTACAAAGCGGTTCTGCAGGCGGTTACAATACGTGTTTCTTAAATTTCACACAGTCCATATCTACTGACATCAAAACTCGCTAACGATGGGCTGTTTATTTGCCGCTAATATTATACTGAAAATAACTTCTAATATTACCTAAAATTGTTGATACAGCAACAATAGCGTTCCTCGCCTAAACCAGTATACCATTATTTTTGTTTTGCTTTACGAATATCCCGGGTTTCACCAACGCCCATACCAACCGTTATACATCCATGGCTTAGGTAAATCTTGCTTATGTCTTTCGTTTTTTATTTTAGGTCACTATTTATACATTGAAGCCACAGACTCGGCCATGTTTTCTAAAGCTATACTGAAAAGTGTCGCCTTCAGTGCCCCGCCTCCAGACACGTATGATCCGGCTTCAATGTTTTTCGAGAGTTGCCAGGTAAGTTGCGAACCCATATCTGTTCGCAGACGAAACTTAACTAAACGTTGTATGCATTCTGCTTGTGGCCGCTGGTCCGTTAGAAACTCTAAACGTTACTACCGATTTAAAGGAGGGCTATGACTATAAAAATATTTTTGCTTTTAGCGAGACGAAGAAAAATCTACGTGGGCACGTAGACTATAAGTAGGATGCATTGTTACATTGATTTTCTGCAGTGGTAACAGAAATCGCACTGGAATGAAATTTACATCGATTCTATTCAGCGACAACCATCCATTTTTTCCTACACTTACACTTACACCTACACATCACCCACACCTACACCTACACCTACACCTACACTTACACCTACGCCTACACCTACACCTACACCTACACCTACACCTACACCTACACCTTCACCTACACCTACCCCTTTACCTACACTTACACTTACACCTACACCTACACCTACACCTACACCTACACCTACACCTGCACATCACCCATACCCACACCTACATCTACATCTAGTGAGGCAAATCTGCTGCAACGTCTTCTGTACGTCTATATCAAATATACAAAGTATTATTGTTACCTGAATGATATGCGTTTACATGGAGTGTGATAATTACGTTGACAAATATTGTCAAATAGCTTTACTTTTATATTTTTACCTAACGTTTAAAAACGTTTTCACCTAGACGAGATTTCAGAATTTTGGGGGTGGCTCAACTTATTTTATTTTGAGAGACCAAGTATACCTGCAGAACTTTTCTCTCAGCGACACACAGCCACTCAAGTATTTTTCCCAAATTGCCAATTAAACTGCCAATACGCTGACAGGATGACATTTACTCCTGCAACTACTCAATAACCTGCTGTGAGTACTAGAGATCCCCAACGTGATTATCGATTCTCGCTATTCAGCGCTTTGCTGGTGAAAATTCTCCAGCTCCCCATTGGTTTTTTTTTATCACAGTTTAGGTTCTACTACCACATGTTCGGGGTGCACACGGGGTCTCTACGTGTGGACGTACACGAGCGCAACACCGAACGTCTCTTGTTCATCGCCTCCGGAGAAAACGAGAACAGTTGGAAGTTCGTGTCGGTACCGTTGCCAAAAATCGAACGCAGGTAATGGCGACTACATTGTGGCTGCTGGTACGGTCAAGGAACCGTTTAACTACCGAACACCCATCCGATCATATGTGCAAGCATATTCTGAGAAAACTGTTAGTTGTAGCGCAACTTTGCTGGTATTAGACCTAGTATTTTCTAATACGCACGTCTTAAATACTGAAAAGTAAAACAGGTGGTTGAATCCCCTGCCCCTGGCAACTTTAGTATCGGCCCGCATCTATTGGCCATTAAGCCGGCTGGCAGAGTATGGTGGCCATCTTTATTCTCTGAGCTCAGTCAATCATGCTTCATCTTTCTTATTTACGAAAATGTTGGAAGTAATAATACACCATTGAAGATATAAGGAAAGGGTTATATTGTAGCTGTGCCATGCTTTACACCCTATGCCTATTTGAATGCGTTAATTCAACTTATCCAGCCACAGCGTTACAAATTGTTATGAGAGCAGTTGGTAAGCTCGAAAGTTGACAGGGGCTCATTTCTTAAGGTGATTGTCTCTTGATTGCCAGAAGCTGGCGCTATAGCAAACCAATTCTCAGACGCACTGTCTGAGAATGGCACGCAATCTAGCGTAATCCCGCCCACATCGCATTACACCCCGACAGCGTAGTAATCCCATGTAAAGTTATTTCCTTTTGTTGACCAATTGTTTGTTTGTCTTGTAAGCGGTTACAGGAAATACAAATTGCAATTTTTGTTTCTGTGTATATGAATATATTGTTTATATATATATATTTATTTATTTATATATATATAATAAAATTCGTGTGTATTTGCTATCACTTTATTTTTAGACGACTCAAGCGCATGTGGCTACGCAAATGTCCAGCAATCACGAGTTTCATATAATTCGAGTATTTTCATTTGCGGTAGAATATAAAATAACAAAAAATGTGATTGTGGTTGAAATTATGTCTACTCGCGACCCTGTCCGTCGCTGTTAGATAGGCATCACCCAGATTGATGACTATTCAAAATTCTAGGGGCACTTGTGTGTGCAACAGAGATGTGTGTGCGTATGTGCGTGTGAGCGTGCGGGTGTGCGCGTGTGCGTGTGTCTGTGTGTATGCGTGTGTACGTGCGCATGCGGGTGCGTGCGTGCGTGCGTGTGCGTGCGTGCATGCCTGTGTGGGGGACGCGGGTGCATTTACACGTAGCTGCGTTCAAACAACCGTACCGTAATGTAATTGTTAGCGAAACGATCGTATCAGAGAGAAGTGTTTCGTTTTAAAATTTTCTGTGCTCTGCTTGTAAATACTTAATTATTGCTGGCTATCCCATATTTGTATCAACCCCTCTTTTGTCGCGTATCTATGTGTTGAGCTTTTAATTTTACACCGTTTGGTTTTGCTCTAAGCTACACTGTGAATATCAAGGCAATCCGTGGAGTACGGTTTCGAGGAGACATCGCAATAGATGACCTATCTCTGAGTCCCGAATGCTTCGGCAAAGGTACGCTTTCGCCCTCACGTACTTCTTTAAGAAAATATCGTATTCAAGTAAATTGTACACAATTATTCTATAGAAATAGCATAGAAATAGAAGGGCTGCCACTCCCACTCCCATCGCATTTTACCAACGAACACGTACACTACTAGAAAATGTATGTATGTTCCTGAGTACATGCGAGTGCGCGCGTCCATTCGCACCTGAGTGCGTGCCCACGTGCCTGCATTTTTATTACTTGCTATAACTATTATATATATACGGGTTGAGCGTCACGCTGTTTTTGCCCTCTTGTAGTTTTATCAAGTCTCTAACATGTAGTCTCAGAATAGTAGCACTCAGTCACAGTGAGTTGCAGTGGGTCGCGTCGCGTCGCATTCAATCGCAACCCGACCTCGCCCGGCTTTAAATAATACAAGTCCTTTTCAGGCGTCACGGAACTGGGATTGCACGAGAGATATGGTGTCAGCAAATCATAATCTAGTTTGTTTCCACAGTAAAGATTTCGTTCGGTTTTATCTTGCAGATACACTTGGAAAAAACAATTCAATACTCTTCTACGAAGACTTATCGTTAATTCCATTAGGTAAGTGAAATAAATATTAACGTTACGTACGCTTCGTTTGTGCATTTTTCCTGCTAAATGTTTACCAACTATTTTTCGATATAGATACTTATTACTTCATCATATTTTCTACCTGATGACCTCAGTGCACACAAACTGTATTATGGTCTTTGAGTGTTTTGTCATTTTCCATACTGAAGTGTTGTATTGTGTACTTCACTGCTCTTCAATACTTTGTTTTGTTGTAACTTCCGCATTATTTGTGTTGCAATTCTATTGTGTTTTTATATCATATCTAATTCATGTTAGGCTGATGACATTGTTATTGTTTTTTATTATACTTATTTTTAAAGTACTGTTTAGGATTCTATTTACTTTATTTTCGTTGCCGACTATATGGTTTTGTTGATTGTGGTTGTTTAATGTCTGTTTAGTTTGTTGATGTCCCCACTTGCTGTATTTATTAAAGTTACGTTAAAAGTGGCTTGACGCGTAATGTAATGAATGTGTGAATTGAAATGTAATGTAACTTAATTGTTTGTAGATAAGAGAAATAATTTCAGCCCAACATTTAATCACTTTTTGTGATAACTTTTGTTCACCTGTTGTGATAGCGGACTATGATGGTACACGTGTCGTACGAACTTGTTTATAATAGTATATATTTTAACGAAGTATATTGTATATATGTATGTGTTAAGCACAAATAAAACATCATGACTCTTGAATTCTGAATCTAAAGGTAGAATGAATGTCAGGATAAAGCTTTAGACAATGAAAACGCACACTTTTATTAAACAAATATATATCAGAATAACACATTGTAAGCACGATTCCCATGAATCATAACTACGACAACATTAATATAAAGGATAACCCTATATTTATTACGAAAGGAAACTTATAGAATAGGTTTTATTAGATTTTATTTAAAAAAGCGTAGCTATTATATATATAGTCCTAATGTAAACCCCCCTCGATCAACTTTTATTTCGAAAGTCATAATACAAATGTTATAAACTTGTCATCTTGATGTTATGACCTTATCATCGTGAATATTTGACATGTTGAGTTAAGGAGCTGACACGGGGTAGGTACTGCGCGACCTTCGCCTGTAATCCCATGAAATCTTGCAGTAACACCATGGCGAATTTTTAAGATAGTAGCGGTGAAATTATGAAACTGAACTGGTGAGGCAGATAAAGATGCGAATGGAGTAAGAAGCTCAGCACTCCTAGAAAGGTGTCCAGTGACACACACGACTGCGCACGTTCGCTTGCACAGGAACACACACGGGTTCATTCTGTTATAAAAATTTAACATAAACTTAAATCCATTACGTATCCTCAGAGAGTTAGACAGAATTCTTTTAACTTAATTAGCTTTATTGTAATTCTATCGTTTTTCAGCCCAATTCCTAACATCAGCGTGTATCACCCCAAATCAGAGAAATCGTCCGTAGCGGAAAGCTCTTCTGTCCAATAATCGTTAAAGCAGACGCGTGCGCGCTCCTCCGCTTTCTTTCTTCTATTCGAAATAAGTGAATAATTTATACAGATATCCGAAGATTCTAAGTGCAGCATACAGGTTTGTAAGATACCCCGCAGTTTCGTGAGAATCGTCTGCAAGTTCATCGGTGGGCTTTTATGCGGTAAAAGGGAAAGAAATGCCTTCCAGGGGAGATGTCTGGAGTACTTTCCTTCGTAGGCTAGTAGTTCGATACATATTCTCGAAGCAACACAGGAGCACGATTGTCGCTCACGATATCTTGTCATATATATCGTTTGAGGCGTAATCTCGTGCAGTAGGTGGTAATCTAAATCAAGTTAATATTTCAGTCCTCGATATAGTGACAGAACGCGCGTTCAGGCATGCCGCGAAATTGGGAACCGACTCGTGGTTTTTCCCGTCGGAGGCGGCTGTTCTTCGGGTTTATGTCGTCTGATATGGAATATATTACCGTGGTGTCTTTTTTGCGAGCATCTTAAATGTAAAAACAAAAAAACTCTGATAATCTGCAAATATGTGATATAGAAGAAGCACTCTCAAAAGCACGCCGAAAATATTGGTTGAATTATATTACCATACTATGAATCTGCATACAAAATCGCTACATACTTTTGTCATACAGAAATGGCTCCATTGCGGGCACTTTGCTTGAAACTTCACGTACACAACGTGACAGCTACTACATATATCGTCTTAGCACGCAAAATTTTTGGGCAAACCATTATAAAACATTATAATGCAGCAGCTAAGAGCCATAAATCATTTGAATTGTGTACGTTTTGACAAACGCATGAAAATTGGCACGCGGGTAGTTTAAGATATTCATATTCATATGAGATCGGGTACCCATCTCAATCGAAATGGTATCTGGTAGCCATCTTGAATTTCAAAATACCCGCCATCAAAATCCATTATCCTTCATATTTCAGCTAATATATATTTAACATAAAAACGTGATTATGGTGTATAAACCAACATTATCGCGTTCTAGGTACCAATTACTATCAAAATCATTATCGCCCGGTGGCCGTCATCTTGAATTTCAAATTGGTTACCATTATACCTCTGCTTCCATACAATAGGTATATTGTAGGAAAATTATCTTGGTGTCTAAACCAACATTATAGTTATTGCTGTTGCTGCTGTTGCTGCTGCTGTTGCTGCTGCTGTTGCTGCTGCTGCTACTGCGACTACTACTACTACTACTACTACTACTACTACTACTACTACTACTACTACTACCACCACCACTACTACTACTACTACTACTACTACTACTACTACCACCACCACTACCACTACCACTTTTACTACCTCTACCACTACCACTACCACTACCACCACCTCCACCTAACACTAACACTAACACTAACACTAACACTAACACTAACGCTAACGCTACCGCTACTACTATTACTATTACTATTACTATTACTATTACTATTACTATTACTATTACTATTACTATTACTATTACTATTACTATTACTATTACTATTACTACTACTGTTACTACTACTATTACTACTACTACTACTACTACTACTACTACTACTACTACTACTACTACTACTACTACTACTATTACCACTGACTACTACTTCAGGCGGCGTAGCTAGGATTTTATTTTAGGGGGGGGGGCAATGAGCAGCGTGAAGTGTGCGGAATCAGGGGCGTAAATCCGTACCGAGGCATGGGGGGATGAATCGGCGATAGCCATCACATACTAGCACGAGCACAAGCCCACAATAATTTACGCCACACGCGCGGCGATCGGCACGCAACAACACACACACACACACAGCCCAGGCGCGCGCACACACACACACACACACACACACAACACACCACACACACACCAGCACACGACACACACACAACACACATCACACACACATACACACAAGAACGAACAATCACAACGAAAAGCACACACACACACACACAAACACACCGTACATACATTTATACATGCATACATTACATCGCACGCACATACAAATTGACAACGTACGTTTGGACACGTGCCGTAGGCATGGCCAGTGCTAGGGGGCGATCCTGGGGGCATGCCCCCCCCAGAAGCATTTGAAATATTTTAAGCCCATTTCCGCAATCTGCAGGCATATCTGTGGGCCTTATGCTCATGTCTGATACACTATCTAACCCTAGAGCTCAACCCTACAGTGTAGAGTCAAAACACTTTTTATTACATTTCAGAGAGCGGTACACAGTTAGTTACTATAGTTAATAATAGCATGTATTATAAACACAGGTAAGAATTGCATTTCTCACAATTCACGTGTTTTTGTATGTTTGCAACCATACTTTTCGGCTATTTTGGAGTCTGGAAACATTTTCTTGAACGATGTTCATTGGCGATGGTCTGCCGCCCCACAAGGCACTTTCTATCTGCTGCCAACTAGAGAGCTTGATATATTGGGTGTAGATTCCATTGCATCCCGCATAGCACTCTGTACTTTTGAGAGACTATATGCCGTCTGGCAGTCACTCCTTAACCGTGCCCACTTGAAAGTTCTGTCTTGCCATTACCATGCATAAGCCATGATTAACACTGAACTTGTACTGCTAGGCTATACAGTTATTCATTACCATTTTCTTATGTGCATTAGTGCTGAAATTGAAAACAATCACATTTTCTTTCTTTTTTCCTTCTTCTTGCTCTTACTTTCTGTTTTTTTCTCTTTTTTTTTGGATTTTGTTTTTTTTTTTTTTTTTTTTTTTTTTTTTTTTTTTTTTTTTTTTGTTATGTTTTTATGTTTTTTGTGTGTTGTGTTTTTGTTTTTTTTGATCTTTATTTTTGTTTTTTGTGAACTCTCAGTGGGGGGGACTGATTTTTTACAAGTCCATCCCCCTTCCTTCAAGAGCGGGGGGATGCATCTCCCCATTCCCTCCGGGATTTACGCCCCTCGTGCGAATCACGGAAGCTCTGACGTTTCATTAAATTATTAGAGAAAGAAGACGATTCGTTGTACCGTTCTCAACTCTTAATCCTGAATTTTCAAAAATAATATTGGATTTATTGTTAAACAAGATTTCGATTTTTTTTAGGATATCTTCAGAAATGAGCATCATGCATGTGATAAATATATTGACGTTTAAATCAACCAATCACCAAGCAATCAGCATTTCATTATAAGATTTCCATAATTGCTAGCAGGACTGTGTGACAGGTCAGACACACAATAAGAATACACAAGTAGCACGTAGAGAACCCGACCCGCTGAACACAAAATATCCGTAGAGCTCGATAGTCATATTATTGTGTAGGTACGCATGATATGTTATGCCGAGCTGGATAAAAGGCGAACTGCGCTAGGCTCAAAGCTCATTTCACAAAATATTTTTAAATAATTAAAAGATATCTGTTGTTTCTTTTATAATCTTTTTAACATAGTCTTTGTCGTGTGTCTTTGTATGCTCCTTTTTCTTCCTACGTCCTCTTACTTTCTTCTCTTCTTTCTCTCTTTTTTTTGGCCGGCGTTTTTTTTTGGGGGGGGGCGACCGCCCCCACCGCCCCCCCCCCTGGCTACGCGCCTGCTACTACTACTACTACTACTACTACTACTACTACTTACTACTAAATTACTAATGCTGCTGCTGGTGGTGGTGGTGGTGGTGGTGGTGGTAGCGGAGGTGGTGATCATTACTGTGACACTCGTTTCGACAGACCCATCGCTTGCCAATCTACGCAAGTGTTATTACACGAACATTATATGCATTTTAGTGTTACATAATTATAAGGATGCATGATTATTATTATAGTTTTAGTTTTAGTTTCGTGACTGTAAATGACGTTGGTGTCGGCTGTGCTTTTCATTCGTATTATTTAAAATATGCAAATGCAATATCAAAAAGGCATAGGCTATTTTAACGTATTTCTACTGTGATTCAACGGAGACTCACAGAAAACTATCTTCTAGCCGGATTCTGTCGTTTCCATTACCGTAGTGCTGAAATAAATATTGTAATCTTAATGATATATGAGAAGTATCTGTCCTGTAAGTGTAAGCGCAAGTCTAACCGTCAACAAATAGAAAAGACTAGGGCACCGAAGCACACTTACTTAGAGAATCTAAGTGGAAACAACGAAAAATCTCATTTTGATCCAGATCAATTATGAAGCTATTATAATTGCCTTTGTCTGATAACACTCTGATAATACCAGGCTCACTAAAAATCGCAGGTTATTGTGTTGTTTTGTTCTCTTAGATGCGTTTAATGTTACCGATACTTCAAAATTGTTTGACGCTATAAAAATGTATGGTTAAACTCTTGCTTTCATTACAACCTGATCGTCTATCGCTGAATCAATTCCTTACTTACAGAGTACCGATTTTCTACGTGCGAAGCAGAGGGCATGTTTGGCCCTACGCAGGAGCAGTGCGACTCGGCTTATAGCAACGTCACCGTTTCAGTCGTTTCCGAAGAAGCGTTAAAAGGCATACAGTTATGGACAGTTCCTAATACGGGCTTGTACAGGTATCTCCCATTACAGACGACATGTCGCTGTCTAACGACTGAGGTACAGATTTGCGGACGGAATTTGATCTAACGCCTACTGCCTTACTGATTAGTCGTAATGCGTCCTGCGCGGTGAAGCTTGTTCTGACTTCTCAGCTGTGCTTTATAACACGGTTGTACCTAGCTATTGTACACGGCTAGCCCGCAAGCAAACACCGCGCGACTGGAAACCAATTTACGATCATATTTTACAAGTCAACGTGATATCTGTCGCCTGATGCAATATCCGCTCGGCTTATTGTACGGTTAAAACATATCGACTAGCTGTTGCGATAGATACATCCACCACGTCCAAATCTGTCTTAAATATAACGTACTCCACGTATATTTCCATGTTACATATATATATAAAACTAGCCCGTATTCGCGTAAGTACATTTTTCGCTTCGTTCGATCTGTGTGTTTTGCGTCACGTAGTATCATGGCATACGGCGCTAGCGGCGGTAGAGGAGCTAACAACCCAGCGTTCGGATTAGGTGCTGTAGTTTACGCCCACTTCAACTTTACACGAGGTGACATCATCCACCTGCTAATTGGGCAGGAAGGGCAGAGTTCATGCTCTATGGTAAGTTTTATTTTATTTTAAATGGATGAAACGAATAACTGTGTATTTTCCTCCATCTCCATGCGCCATTTGTCTAGCAATTGTCTAGTCAGATCTATCAAGTTATCTAACTATTTTGTACAAAACTCGAAGTGTAGGTAAAATCAGAAAATTTCATAGAATGAGAATCAAGATTCCTGATTGGAATTTTCAGCAACATATCCGCGTATGCACACGTGCATATATCGATGCGCAAACACGCAACACGCGAGCCTACTCCAAGTTGTACACGCGAGCATATACATACGCACGCACACTCACGCGCGGTAGAAATAATATATAGATATAATTTTACCGCGGTAAAAAAAACATTATTTTTGAGTACGATGGCCAACCATACACGCGCACGCACTTTCATACTGCAGAAATGGTAAACGCGTCCCGATCCTATCTACGTTTGTGATGGCAGTGCCACCATCCGCTGCATGATCCACAGTATGTTTCACCACGATAAATGCCAATGGTAGTTGTTACTCCAGGGAGCAGCGCAACCTTATTGATACTGACTAGCTATAATTTTTAGCATTATTTAGGCGTTCTCCAACTAGGGCCATGCGATACGTCAAACGTATCATATTTGTCGATGTTAGTCGCTGCGTCGAAGCTAGGGGTGGCTAACCAACTTTGCCCGCGGAGGTGTGGCAAAGCCACGTGCGTGTTGGAAGGTGACCGCCGCTAATATATCTATATTTTTCTGGGGGCGACTGCCCCTCTTCCCTCGCTCCCCGCTAGCTAAGTAAAAATGCTAAAAGGAACGTAATACAAGTTTTAATACGATCGTATTTCACCGCCTGAGTAGCGACACTAAAGGTGTGATCGCTCCCTACTCTCCCACGCCTGTAATGTGCATGTACATACGTCACAGTAAAAGATTATTCTGGCATTGCGTTTTTTACTAATAATAAAATTTGTGATGGATTTAAAAAAAAATCTCTTAACGTAATTGCATTCGTTGCGAATATATAGTATATACAGGTATATATATATATATATTATATAGGTAATGGTACACTAATGCGGTTTGGCAAATAGAATCCTCATGCATATCCACACAGTTGGGTGTTTATTATGTAGAATCTGCAGGAAGGAACTGAAGAAATCACACCCACACGAATTTTATGAGTAAAGCAGAGACGTATCTACGAGATGTGTTTTTGTTGCAGGGAGATCCAGAAAACAACTGCGAGGACTCCGTCAGCACTAGCGTTCTATCAGGTGGCGGAGGCGGTGGAGGTGGCGCCACCTATGTATTCACGATCAACGTGAGATTTTTACCTACTATGGATTTCTAAAATTTCAATTATAAATCTAATTTGTTGCCTGTGGCGTCGTGTTCATAGCATCGTACCACGGTTGACTCTGAGAGTAATCACTAGACCGGTGCAACAAAGGCCGTGTCAGCGGGATGAACGGCACCCTTAATTAATTTGGCGCAATCAACGTGCAGCCAGGTGTTCTCATTCCTTCGTGAATTTTTAATTTTCTAATAACGAACAGCGCCCCAAGCATTTTGATTCTAATTGCGGTCCTTCGCACCACTAATGCGCCGGTACACTATGCGAACGATTTACAACCACAAATGTAATTATATACGAAGGCAATCTCAGGGAATTACATAGGTGCATGTAGATTTAATTGATTCTACGATGTTGTGTAAATAATACCAGCTTTTACTATCCTAAGTTCAAAGGCACTGTGCCTTACTCTGTCAATATAATTAACGCGCCACTGCGTCTGGGTTGCTAGTCGTTACCTTTACTATGATCGCTTATGCTGGAAAACGCATTAATTCATATTTTAAAGCGTAAACCTTTAATGTTTCCCTTTTTCGCAATGGCATGCGTACTTTTGCAGTCAATATCGACATATATGAGTTGCATATGGTTTCTCTATGTGTACATAGCTTGATACTTCAAAAAGCCCCGCGCAAGTTCCATTGCTGGTTGCTGCTGGAGGTGGGGGTGGCTCAGCTCTTCAAGGTTGGAAGGCTTCCATGCAGAAAATAGGAGCCAACGGGTTTTATATAGCCACAGATGATATAGTGCTGTCACCATGTGAGTATACACAAAGAAATTAGGTGAAAGAAAATACATTGGTGGAACGTCGTTGATGATACAATACGCGATCCAATAGAAGACAATTCGTGCCTATTCCGCCTTACAGTTTCAATAAGCAACCAGATCATGTGCTCTCATTCAAACGCCACTCTCTTTTATATGTCGGGCACATTTTAATATTGAGAAGGAATTATTTCTCTCTTACATCTATTCATGTTGGACATTTTTAACATGATTACATATAGGGATTTTAATTTACCTTAATTTAATTATTACTTTAATTTATGATGTACTGTAATGTTGCCTTGAAAACCTGCAACTTTGTCATAGAAATAAACAGTATATGTTATCAACGGTCTTAGGCACTCGGCTAACTGGATGAAGCTATTGATTGTATTACACCAAGCCCTCGGATACAAAGTTATCGAGGACGTTTCTTAAGTAAAAAAGATACTGAGCACACAGACAACTTACTCTATGTTTACTTGTTTGTTTTAGCATTCGCTGTGCGAGCAGGAAATGGTTGGTCAAACGGTACAATTCACACAGGAAGATCGCTGCTGAAAGGTGGGACCGGAGGTGTAGGTTGCACGCTAGGCAACAGCCAATTTGCTGTTGGCGGATTCGGAGGCGGTGCAGGAGCTTGCATGGGCGGTGGCAACGGCGGAGGCCTTTGCGGTATGTTATCAGGGATTAAATGATTTAATTATTGTAGTTCATTCAAAATAATCTCAAATAAAAATAGCATCTAGACTCAGTTGAGGAGGTTTGGTAAGCCATGTTGTTACTCGGGCAGCAGATATGTAATTTGGCTCTAACTATCGGTAATAAGATGTTTGTCATCAAACTGCATCATCAAGTATAATTTGTGCACTTACAGGGCGCAGTTCCACTGGAAATGATCAGCCATCTGATGGGGTTGGAGGCTGGTCGTTTGTCAGCAGAGATGCTATAAATGCTGTAAACATGCTGGACCATAACAAGGGACATGGTAGAGTTACCATCACGTACCTGACGCCCGTGGAATGCTTGTGTCCTGTGGGTGCCGCGTGTGTAATGAAGAATGCACATCCGTTCACCTACGGCTGCAATTGTCCGCTTGGCGAAACAATAGCCCCGAACGGTGGCGCGTGTATCAGTAAGCAAATTATCACTTCTCTAATATTGTTTTATAGGAAATTTTTCTAGTATACACTCTGTACTTAATTGGGCTGCTTCTTTGTGTGCGTCATAATTGCCACTTCTTCGTATTCGTTTTCAAGGCGATACAAAATTTATTTACTAGCCCGCACTTAAAATACTTTACCATATATATGCACGATATATATATATATAATTATATATCTAACAGTGTGTTATCTTATAGCCTCCGTTTTCATATTGCGTTTAATATTCATATCGAATGAATTGCAATTGGACATGGAATAGTATTTCAATAATAAGAAATAATTTGAGTATATAGTTTATATATTTTGGGATATGTACTATATATTACTACCTAGTGATAGTATAAATAATGTTTTTTTAAATCTTGATACCACTTTTACATCTGTCAACTACATGTTCGCATGTTGTTGGTCGTTCATTTCGTATATTTGGTACAGAGGAATCTCCTGTTGCTGTTGGTGCAGAGGTAATGATGGCGACTGCTAATCAGTCGGAGGAGACAGCTCTCACACAGACCATCATTATCGTCAGTATGTGTGTGCTCGTCGTGCTGCTCATTGCTATCGGCATTTGCTACGTTGGTACGTACGCTACTCCTCAATAGAGCAATGGATACATTTCATTGTTTAACTATTCATCTGATTTTTATCCGTAAAAAGGACCAAACGGTGTAAAAGTGAAAATATCAAATCAAAGAATCGGATTTATTATCGTAATTAACATGGTCTGTGACCTATAGGTTGTTGGTTGAGTGAAACATTGGCGTTTTTATAAATAGCTATGACAGTACAATTGTCTCTGGGCTACTCCTGATATACTCCTGATATATCAGGTATACCTCCGGATACATCTCCAGACACGGGCCTGAGATGGGCCTCTAAATTTGGCTCCTACTTATTGCATGCTCTCAGTGAAATGGATCGATAATCGAATTGGGATTTAGATGTTTTGAGGTTTAGTAAGAACACTATCTTATTTATCAGCCTGTTTCATGGCTGAACGATCCGAAGGCTGAATACGGAATTCCTGTTTCTATTTAATCTACACATAGACAGTTTGTACGGATGACCTCTTGTGATATTGACTCTTGTACGTAGGGCTAACGAAACATCTTGGTCGTAGTTGTTACGCGTCATGTATTTCTCATTTCACCACGGGGCGCCTAAAAGCTAGAGTTGGGAGATGTGACTACCTTAGTCTCTCCTCATATGGTGCCAACCCCTGTTGGACATTGTTGTTATATATTCGAATTTATGCGGGCTTCGAATAGCACTGTCACCTTCTAAGTGTGGTTGCACAACGGCTTTATATACGCGCACAAAGTTCTCCTCGCCGATATAGCTAAAGGCCCATCATGCAATTATTTTCTTCTCCTGTGTGTGCTGATAAAAAATCGGCTTCGTGTCCACAGTTACTCCTAAAATCTGTTTCATGCTCTATACATGTTTAAGGGGGGTCGGTGATCACCTGTTATCACCTAATATGGGTTCCCGGGGTATTCGTCTTCTTATGTGAGTTGATTGCACATTTGCCCGGGTGGAGTTTTAATCCCCTGTAACGCTGGTCTGTCGTTAGCACATGCTATGTCTTTAAAGACTTTGTCATCGGCAAACACGTGCAGGTATGTAATAGAGCGTTTGATCATCTCCGGTAAACCATTTAAATAAATCGCGAATAAAATACGATCTAAGACACTTCCTTGAGGTTGCTTCACTCGTGATCTTCTCCTAGTTGGAGTAGTTCCCGTTTATACACACATGTTTCTGTGTGTTGGTGAGGCAAGAGAATGCCCATCTCAGAACATGGCTCCTTATTCCGTTTACATTGTTTTTACTAAGAAGTCTTTGGTGGGGCACGCTATCGAAAGCTTCTATCAGATCCATGAATATAAAAGTAACTGTTTCACCTTTATCTAGATCGAGATTTTGTCCATGATTCCAAGACATTTAAGAAAGTGTACGAAAGCTTACATTTCTTAAAGTGTCATGTGATTGATTCACGGATCTGTGAGTCTGAGACTTTACACAAATTACTAGTGTTTGCTAACTTACGGCTTTCTTGTAATTGCAGTTGTGGGGCCTATTTTCCAATCCTCGGGCAGTTTTTTAGTTCTTAATGATAAGTTAAATATAACATATAGTGACGCAGCAATTATAGATGATAATTCCTCTAGGATTTTTTTATGAAGTAATCCCGACAGGGTAGGACACGATATATTCAGACCAGCAGTTATCCAACCTATGAGTTACTTGCATTTAAATCAGATTACATACTTCTCATTAAATGGGAAATCTCTGAGAATTATGTCTATATTATGATATATTCTCCTGACTTGTTGGTGAACACACCGCTAAATTATTTTACTAGAGTCTCTGCCCTGGGGCAGTTATTTGCTGTTTGTCGCTGTTATGGTCGTCAAATGGAACCGCAACTTGAGCCACATTTCTATTTGTTTTAGTCTTTGATTTAGCATAGTGTCAAACGCCTTTCGGGTTCTACTTTGCTTCCTTTGCAAAGCGTCTCTTATACACCAAATCCCTCATTAACGCCGTGTTCCTAAAACGCGCGACTTTAAATGAAGCGCTTTGCCAACTGATCGCGTTTTCAACAAAGATAGCTTTTATTTTTATATGTTAGAAAGGTTAATAATGCACTTACTAATAAATTTGAAACATATTAAATTTTTATTAATTAAAGCAAACATCCACTGTTAAGAAAAGGGTTAACGTTTTCCCCTTTGTGGGTGGTTAATCAGGCCGTGATTGCCCCACAGGGGTGACAATTAAGTCGGGCCCTGTACTTCGACTGCCAGGCACGTTCCGTTATGGCCAACTACGACAGTGACAGAAACAGCAACACAGAATAATGCAGCACTTGGCTATACAATAGCCTTTTACTAGACGCTAGCCAATTACAATATTATTCAGAAATAATCCACGAAAATACAGTCGTAATCCACGATAAGACTGCTTAAGACAATAGCTAACGCGATCTGTGGACGATGTGCAGTTATCTGTGCAACCACGAAATACAAGAAGCTAACTAGATGAACCTATAAGGCTCACACGTGGCAAACACAATTCAATTCAACGCAGTATTCTTATGCTCCGTCTAGTAATTTCTTGTTCATGTCTTTTGTCTCCCTGTCACACCAGTAGATTTAGTCAATTAAACGATTATTACGTTCTGCAAGATTCAATTCCATCCAGCACGATTCCGCATCCTCCGAAAGTATTTCAATGTCATTGGTATTAATAGATTTAAGTGCATATATGAGTATGCCACTCCCCAGGCTATTAGCCACATTGATAGAGTGCATTTCATATCAATCAGTAAATGTTAGCCAACGTAATGTCCCTATAGTTTTTGAGTTTTTCTTCCGTTATTGCAATGATATATGCATGGTATGGTATATCTATGCCTACGACTGTCATAACAGTCATTTTGGTGAAGGAGGAATCAGAATTTGTATACGTGCAACACGGTATTCCAATAAATAACAAATATACAGGATGTTCACAAATGTACAGGTTTCTTCCCAGTTGCCGATATGAGCTTTCTTCTCTTCTAGTTTGTAAATAATTTTTTTTCAATAGTTTTCGTGTCTAATATTGGCTTTACATATCGATTTGCCTCAGCATCCTCTCTCATGCTCTCTGATATAAGATTGGTATTTGGTTCGAGCACGTTGAAAACTATAACGTTGTTCGCGCGTCTCTCGTGTTTCTATTTGTCACTCTGTTCATGGACTGCATTTGCACTTGGTTTGTTAGTGTTGTTTTCGTTGTTCCGGACACGCTGTCACTGACATCCAATAGAGCACCTGAGTTGTAACCTATAATGGCATCTACATCCACATATCATCATATTATTAGCCATTAACTCGGTAGGATTTTTGCTATGATATGTTTCACCAAATTTATGTGACATAACATTTGTCTGAGTTTTGATGGTTGACAATTCAGCTTTCATCTCATCGTCTTCTTCGTTGGCATTCTGAATGAATGGCAGGGTATCTATTGCCTTCTTGTTACATGCATGCACACCAAACCCAGTGTGTGCATGTTTACACGAAAAATTCAATATTAAACAATTCAAATAGAATATATCTATACAACGTAATGTGCAGGTAAACTACACTTACTATTTAACGGGACTTCGATGTTACTATTATATTTATATAGGCCTATTTAACCGAATATGGTTACCCTGATGCAATAAACATCACAAGACACATCACCTACCTATTCTCTCTTTCTCCCCTAACTCGATAATATATTCAATATTATATGTATCCGATTTATGTCCACTAATGATAATATAAGAACTATTTATGAGGTTTCTGAAAACGGGTTCGATCTTGTGTTTTGTTGGTACGTACTACTGCAACTTGTATTGACGCTAACTTCTTGCCATGCTTCAAAATGCATAAAACCTTGTCCTATTTCGCACATTATGTATTTTGTAGACATACAAGCTCTTACGTAAGGAAGCTTTTATTTAGCTACACCCTGTATAAAATGTATATAGTTTTTCCAAACGTTAAAAACAATATGACACGGTTAAACCTACCTGGTGCGATGAGGCTGTGCTGCTGTTTGCATGACTAGTAAGTAATACGACGTGATTTGCAGCTACAGTGACTTATGTGTGTTAAAACTTGAGACAATTATTATTATTTACTGTATAATTCAACATGCAATATTACATAAATCTTGTTAATATTATTTAAAAAAAGTACATACTGATCGTTTGTTAACAACCAGTGATACTTTCTTGTTTACACCCAAACGTGAAATGCGCGGGTATGTGCGAATTACTCCACAACCTAGCGCACGTGAACAGTGAGCGTGCCTCACGACCCGTGCACGTAAATAAACCCTGGCCAACACATTGTAAGGTTCACTACCACTGGCCAAAAGTAAGCTCCACCCACTTCTTATCCATTTTTGGTATGCCAACGCTGCTACTGGATTCAGGAACCTGTGCTAACCTGTGCGTCCGAACATCCCACGGACGTTTCTTGAATGTCAACTAAAGTTTGGCCGTACAGGCCCGTACTCTGCTTTTATCATTATAGCTACATCTTACATCTTTTATCATTATATCATGTTAGCAAGCATACATTAAGACAATGATAGTAGAAGCGCTCCCGATAGTTACAGAGTCACAGTGTGTTCACATGTACGCGATCGTCAGAGACCACGGAGGTATTCTTACCACCCCCTCCCCCCAAAGTTCTAAAATGGCCGGAAATCCGCCGAACGGCGGAAATGTCTCATGCCTGAAATAATCATGGCGGAAATGTAAACTTATTTAATAAGTTGTTAACACTCTCAAGTGTGCCTACCTTTCCGCCGGGAAACAGCATCATCGACAAATGATGGTCCCAACTTGGGACTCTCAAGGAAATATCACATTGACATCGATTATCAAATTAAGCACAGGTTTTATATGGATTGAATTTCGACACTTAATTTTTCGACTTTTCGATGAAAGTGGTCCAGCTTGTAGGCTACATCACTCATTTTTTTGTGGTGGCATCATACGGAATAATAACATAACCTTGCAGCTTCGCGTCAGTGGGCTGGAGGGATTTAGGCTACTTGTGTAACGAACATGCGCGTGGTATTCCAGTCTGTGGACACGTTCAGACTAGACGTCTCTGATTGGTCAAAAATATCCGCGATTACAGTGAGGGTTCATTAATATTCATAAAATTACCATATCAGACACAGCTTGGATACATATTAACCCCCCCCTAGACGTAGCTAATGTGCGCCATATTTATTGTTACTACAAACTATCAAGTTTGTTAGACAATGCGTTTGTTGCTACAACACAGTAATAATGTTGCTATAACACAGTAACATTTTATTATGTAATTGTTAAATATTATGTTGCTAATACTGCGTGCCTATAACGCGTGATACATCATTACTACTAGCTATAACTTTTGTTTGTTATATTATGATTAATATACCTAACGTATATGTTGCATGGTTTCTATTGGCTATAAAATGCTAACCGTGGGTAATATTGCTTCTAAGGCGTATTATAATGGGCAAACCAGTAGTAATGTTGTCACCATCAATCACCAATCATCATCACCAATCAACTACAATCATGTTGTCATGGCACTTTACCGTATAATTTGCTATTTGCAATAGGACCAGCCTTCGCCGCTCAACATGCAGGATCTGCTAAAGCTGTCACTCGACGTAGCAGCAGGATGTCAATACTTGGAAGAAAACCATTTCATTCACAGGTGTGTTTCAATATATATAATTATATATATATATATTAATAGGTATTATTAGCTCTTGATTATATACCGTTGATAGAACAATGCGTCCACCAAACGTCTAGTAATTAACCATTGATCAAATACATTGTGATCAGTACCGAATATAAACCCTTTCAGGGCACTGGGACAGGGAGCCTTCGGTGAGGTATATCAGGGCTTGTTGTCAAATCTTCCCGGCGAACAACCGGACATGCCAGTAGCAGTAAAGGTGGGTGTTGTGATCCGTATGACAAAAATGCAAGACGAACGAAACTGGATATAATTATAATTACTATAAACCCTATTTGAATAAACTAAAAACAAAACAGTATGCATAATTAATTATGCGACTAATTAGCAGTGAAGCCACTATATTTAGGTGGGCGTGCACGAGTGCGTTCATTCTTCATAATTACTGCGTGACTATTGTCTGGTTTATAGCATGTAGGTACGTATTCGCGAATACGAGATATCAGTAAAAAGCAGATTGAGTAGCTTGATATGAAAATTGTCTATTAGAATTGCTCTCATTAATTAGTTGTAAAGCACCATGTTCTTCTTACTTTCAATATTGTAGCATAGAGTCGGATTTGTGCATGGTCACGTCTAGTATCTGTAAAAATAAATCAATTTTTTTTAAATCGGTTATTTAATATAGGTGCATTATTTTGGTATAAAAATGTTCATTGGGGTGGATTTCTTTAATGGTTATTGAAGCGCTTTGTTTTCCACAATTTCTAACTATTGCCGTATAGGGTCAAATGTCTGTGCGCACATGCGAAGTATCAACCAATATAAATACAATATTTTGCTTTGCATTGCTCATATAAAGTGAATAGATACTCTCGAGTAGTTTGCTGTAAAACGTACATATTGAAATGGCTCTTTTTACTACTTTTAAGGTGCCCCGTTTCCCACATCTTTCAGTACTGTGATACAGGAGTGCCACATGTCTATACGCACATGCTAGGAAAAAAATCAAAATCTTTAAAAATCGATCAAATTTTTATAATATTGTAACTATTCCGAGCCAAATAGCATAGCATATGTATATTCCCTATATTTAACGCAGCATAACCTTGGGAATTCCCCGTAGTCACCCGCTCGCCTCTCTGTGTGTTATACCTATGCATTTCTGTTTTCCAGACACTGCCAGAATTGTCAACTGACCAAGCAGAGATGGATTTTCTTATGGAAGCCCTTATCATGTGGTATTTACTTGAAAGTTTAATATGGAATCAGTTCTTTTTTTATTGCTAAAATTATTTAATATACATTAACCTTTATTTCGCGGCTTTTTACCGACGCGCAGGCTTACATATTAATTTTTATGTCTTTATCTATTCTCTCGTATTTCATTGTTTTTAAGAATTTGCTTGCTGCTCAAATTTATGAGCCCGTAATTAGTATAATTAGTGATAAACTAAATTTCATCCGTTAAACAAGCTATACACAATGTTCAATATTTGTGCCATTCTTCGTGTTCGTTGTTCTTATAATAATCATCACTACTTTGAGAGTCATGCGGATGCAAATGATTTCCCACAATTTTTGATTGCCTAAATATCGATTGTTTTGAGCGACTGTCATTAGTGATTTGCGTTATTTAATTTAATTAATTTAAATAATGCACATTTGCGTGCTTTATCACGTTTCAGTAAATTTGATCACGCGAATATAGTGCGATTCATCGGCGTATGCTTCGAGAAACATCCAAGGTTTATCATATTGGAACTGCTCAACGGCGGTGACCTAAAGTACTTCCTGCGGGAATCCAGACCGAAAGCAGTAAGGCCTGCCGACTAAATCGTTGAAACAGCCCGGTTCTCAAAAATAAACCGTTAAGAAACCTAGTCATCTGCGGAGAATAGATCAATAAAATTGTTACGAATTATGTAAAGTGTGTACTACATTATTAATACTTACGTGCTGGGTTATTATTTAGCTGGGTTTACACTGCCAACTTTGTGTTGGCGAATTGGCGAATTGGACCAACTTCCCAACGCTCTATCAACCGTTCTATGAACTGTGCAGCGCGTTTACACTGACGACTGCGAGTTGGCCAACTCGATCGAGCGGTCAGCGTCGACCGCGAGCGTACGCGTGGGGCGATGAATATATATGCATTATTTCGTGTATACATTCGTGAGGTATCGCACGCACAGGCGCAAAGACTCGTGCACAGTCACACAGTCGGGATGCCACGAGGGCAGTGGATTACTGGAGAGGCTTCCCATTGGACTTGTCCATGCTCGTGATGCACGTCATCCTCCTCATGTGCACGTGCGCGTGTATGTGCGCGCACGCGTGTACCTTCCCCGTGTACAACAGGTGTACGTATCTGCCCGGTTGTTGCTATCCCCCGGGCGTGGAGGGAGGGTCACGTGATACAGTTGACGTATACTTCAAAATCATTAATCATCCGGTAACGATAACTCCAATACCGCCAACGATGCATCCAATAACGCCGCTGTCGGAGCGCTATATATAGGTCCAAAAATCCACAAACATTATTCTATGGTGTGGGGACAGATATCATGATGCAAAAACCCTAACCCTAACCCTAACCCAATCCCTAACCCTAACCCTAACCCTGACCCTAACCCTAATCCTAACACTATCCTAACACTAGTGCTGCAACGTTGCGGTAACCTCCCTCCACCCCCGGGGGATAGCATTACCCTGACCGCACGCGTGCACATACACGCGTGCGTGCACGACGTACACGAATGCGAGCACGTTCACGCGTGCGCGCACATACACGCGTGCCCGCACGTACACGCATGCGTGCACGTACACGCATGCGCGCACATACACACGTACGTACACGTACACGCATGGGCGAACATACACGCGTGCGTGTACGTACACGCCTGCGCGTACGTAAACGCATGCGCGCACATATACGCATTCGCGCACGACACGCATGCGCGCACGTACACGCATGCGCGCACATACTCGCGTGCGTGCACGTACACGCGTGCGCGCACATACTCGCGTGCGTCTATATACACGCATGCGGGCAAGTACACGCATGCGTACACATACACGCGTTGCACTTACACACGCACGCGTGCGCGCACATACACGCGTTGCACTTACACACACACGCGTGCGCGCACATACACGCGTGCGTTCGAGCGTGCACATTAGGGCTCTATGACGGCTTATGTAAATTGTTCTCGTTAGGGCTGACTACTATCGTAAGGGAGGAAAAGCAATGCTTCCCGTCAAATGGATGCCCCCAGAAGCCTTTCTCGATGGAATGTTTACGTGCAAGACAGACGTCTGGTGAGACCCTTTCGTTTGGTTACATTTTTCTTTATCACATTACCGAGTATGTCAAACGCTAAATGAATCTTGAGGACTTTATTATATTCTATATCACAAATTATAATGTGGTCGTTGCAGGTCATTTGGTGTACTATTGTGGGAAGTGTTCTCTCTGGGATATATGCCGTACCCAGGCAGGGGTAACCAAGAGGTGATGCAGCTGGTCACTAATGGAGGAAGGTTGGAAGCCCCATCGGGCTGTCCCGCCTCTATGTGAGTTACGCAAGATTTGACCTTGCCTTACTAGATATCGATTGCATGAAAACCCGTGACTCGTAACTGCTGAGCATAATGTGTTAACACTCGGTAATTATATAGCGACACCCCTCATACGTATGCCACATTAGTTATATAACTTTATGTCCTAGTCCCCGCGTTGAATTGGATTTGCGTAAGCATGTCACGTTGTTAGTATAAAGATTTTGGAAATAATATGCCCTTATAGCTAAATAAAGCAATATGCTATATGACTGACATTGTGTTAGAGTAAGCGTTTGGCTGCGTGTAAATTATAACGTATAAATTATTACCAATGTCATAGATAACCTGATCTTTGCCGGTTACATTCCAATTGAACCTCTGTTATTCAACAACAGATATGCAATAATGAAGCTCTGTTGGGCTGGCAATCCAGATGCTCGGCCAAGATTTACCGAAATCATCAAACAGATAAATGCGTGTATACAGGCAAGTTTTTAGCAATCTTGCTATAGTGAATGCGATAGTTACGGTCAAGAGACAGTTACCATCAAATAATAAACCGCAGTATGTACAGTGATCCGGGTGTGCATGTTCGCTCTCGCGCGTTCGTGCGTGTGTGACTGTGTGTGTTCCCGTGCGTATGTGTGCGTGCGTGCGTGTGTGTGCGTGTGTTCATGTGAATGTGTGCGCGTGTGCGTGATCTTTCCCAATGAGCATGCATCTTCGTAAACATCTGTGGAAAGTTGAGTTTAAACTGCTGGCGAACGTCTATCTCTTTCAGGACCCTGAAGTCATCTACACTGCGCTACCAGTTTTCCACCGGGCACCGTCTGTGGAACGAGAGAACAGTCTGGTTCGACCGTCCGAATCAGACCGAAACTGCTTGCAGGTACACCAGGCTCTTTCACACGGCGCTGCCGGCTCAAGACCGGGGACAAACGCAATTGGTGAACCGCACGCAGCCGGTAGCAGCAAGGTCGACGAGTTCGAGTTGAAGCAATCGTACGGGCCCAGTAGCGGTGAGCTATCCGTGCTTCTGCCCGCAGACGCGCCCGCAGGCGTGTTCGACGAGAATGCCTTCCACAGCCTTCCCTCGCCCGCGAAGACACAGCTGCAGAAGACATTATCCGGAAGCAGTCGGAGCGGAGCGTACAGCAGTTTGCCGACGTGTGAGCCGACCGACGATGGCGATACCAGCGACAATCTGTATCAGAATCCGCGCTACTACCAGCGCAACAACAGTACCGCATCGGCTGAGCTGGCGGCGATGCACGACGAGGCCGAGGCGCACGATGGCATTGCTGCTGCGCAGAACGATCATGGCGATGGCGAACCCGATGCCGAATATGTTGCTGCTGCTGCGGAGGCGCCACTGCTGTCCAAGACCGACGACAGCGCAATTTCGCAAGCAGGCGCGGCGACGCAGTATCAGAACGTTGACTGTCAAAAGAGCAATGGTTACGCAGCCACGCACCTACTCGCATAGCCGATTTCAATCCTGAGTCTCGTTGATAGCCTCCATCTACATTAACGTCACCAGCTTTTAACATGCTCCTCTTAGAGTCGTGTTCGCCCCACTCGGCATACTTCGGCCGATTCCGTACTCACTACTTCTAAGTGATCTTTCTTCGATTTCCTCTCTACAGCTATGTGTGGGTACGGAATCAACCGAGGTCTTCCGTGTGTTCTCTCTTCGCCTATATCACATAGATGCCAGTCTGATATATGCTAGCCTAATTATAACCTAAGTCAAATAACTTAGATTCAAATCTAGCCATGCTGGTCTCAGTCCGTCAAGACGAACTGGTGCGCCTCGGATTGGTCTTGATTTAAGTTCAATGTGTTAATTTACTATGAAAAATACTGTGTACTAAAAATGATACTACCTGCCATAGTGATACGCCCTGACTGTCGTTTAAAAGCTGACTATTATACCTGTGGCAATTACATCATAACTTTATATCAGGAGCTAATAAGTGTATAATATTTGTAATAGCTGTATTATTAGCTTTTTATTATATATTAACACACAACACACAAACACACATTTTCTCTCTCACACGCACGCACGCACGCACACTACTTAGATATTTTTGGAATTAGACCCGAGTTCTTGGAGTTCTTTTGTTTCTGAATAAGCAGATCTTGTCATTATATTTGGAATCAAACCACGTAGTTTCGCAAATTTTTATCTGTAATAAAAACTATAAACTACTATCAGCATTATAGATATGTGTATTATCATTGTATTATATATACATAATATATTCAATACATATATTTATGGTATTGCAATAGGAAGTCTTCCATTTAGTCGTATAATATTGTTTTACAGGGACTTGGCAGCAAGGAATTGTCTTCTCACAACAAAGGGTGCGGGGCGCAAGGCCAAAATTGCTGACTTTGGAATGGCTAGAGATATATATAGGCAAGTGCATAGTAAGAGAATATCCGTACTCCCATGAGTAGTTATAGTCACTATAATTATCAGTTCATTAGCAATATATATATATATATATATAAACAGGGGCTGCGCCAGGGTATTTTGATAAGGGGCGAGACGGTGCGCAAAGCATGAGGCAGACAACTGCTGAAAAGGGGGAGGTGCCAGTTCTAGGGGGGTGTGGGGGCATGCCCCCCAGAAAATTTGTGAAAATTATAACCTCTGAGAATGGCTCTGCAATCTAGAGCCATTTCAGGGTACTTCAATAGCTCACAACTAGCAACACTTTTTGGTGGAAAAGGAAAAAATTATGCATATAACATGATCACTTACTGTAAAATTTTGATGGGCACTGGGGAATTATATATATAACGACAAGGAGAACGAATTTAGTTATTTCCTTGTAATTAGTTTATTGTTTACGAAAATGTGTGCGATATGCTAGTTGGTCAGCTGATTAACACGCATACCATTCAATTGATGAATAATTTTCGTAATGAAATTTTATGATAGGGAAATCTATTTTTCATAATGACATATAACGACTGTATACGGAATGAGGGGCAGGTGTTCAGTGTCGCATTTCTAATATTGAGCTTATCATAATTACGATACGTAATATGTTACGATATAATCTAATCATCGGAAACTTCACCTTCCCTGAAATCACGCGTGATTTTATCATAAAAATATTACGTCATCAGTGCATCAGGTGACAAGCAGTGTAAGATACAACATACAGGCAACCACTTTGCATTGTGAACCGTGTAAAGCATATCGGACGTTGTACGATTACTATAAATGACATATGTGAACGCAGTGAGCAACGCATTTGTTGACTACTTGCAAGAATTCAAAGATCAAGTAACGTGATAGAAATATAACATTACCCTATGTGTATCATGCATTGTCTAAGTATACAATATTACGTTAGAAATACATGATTGTCATTCGCGTACAACTGTATATATTATGACATTTCCCTTGCTTTATCGTATGATTTATGAAGACCAACAAACGAGTTTAAATTATCTATGTTATCAGCGTCGTGTGCGATGGAAATCAAGCAGTGTCACCTTCAGCCATGTAGATGGGCTTGTCCCAGAGTCTAATAGCTAGAGTAAGGCTTTCCAACAGGCGTATGCTGATACAGAACACTATCTATATAGTACAGTGTAGTTAACCGTGACTAGCGCTAATGGCGTAATCAATGTGGCCATAATTAATGTCTTTCAATAAAATAATTCAGCAAGTTGTTGGTATAAAGTAATAAACAGTGATAATGTGAGTTTAATATCACATCACACCTTTGTTGGTACAAACACTGGTAATATATATTGTAAGCTGTGTATTATAGCACGTGATGGGAAGACCTGGATAACTAATAAGCGATGTGTTGATCTGAAATAATAATTCATAAAACCATCTAATTAGGTCATCTATGAGTCGAGTTTCGAGTCGTTTCGTCGCATCCAACACTAATAGCGAACAAAGGTTAAATTTATTTCCTTGAGGCCGCCAGAAAGAGAGAGAGCCGGGGGAGAGACAGCGCGCGCGCGAGAGCGTGCAAAAAAGAGCGCGTATACGGGAGCGCTGACGAAAAGAAAGCAAGCGAGAGAGAGAGAGAGGTAGACCGATCAAGATAGTCCAGGTTATCTGCGACTGTGTGGTTCGCGGGCACCTACCTGGCACGTCCGGATGCGCGAGGACGTTAGTGAGTCCTGGCCGTCCGCGACACACACTCACTCACTCACTCACTCACTCACTCACTCACTCACTCACTCACTCACTCACTCACTCACCGTCACCCACTCACTCACTCACCGTCACCCACTCACTCACTCACTCACTCACTCACTCACTCACTCACTCACTCACTCACTCACTCACTCACTCACTCACTCACTCTTCGTGTTAGCTTCCTTGTCTGTCTCGCAGTGTTGTTATTACAATAATCTGTTAGTTCTGTCTGCACGGTGGGGCGGAATGTGCTTGTCGTCGTCGTTGTTGTTGTTGTTGTTGTTGTTGTTGTTATTGTTGTTGTTGTTGTTGTTGTTGTTGTTGTTGTTGTTATTGTTGTTGGTGTTGTTGTTTGTTGTGCTGTTTCTTGGCGGCGGCAACAGAGAGGAGAACAGAAGGATGTTGGGGATGCGGATGTACGTGCACGCACTGGTTGATGAGCGAGACCTTGTTCTCTGTAACTTCCGGCTCCACCGTGTCCTCGCGAGTTCCCGTGACGTCGGCACCTCGGCGACGTAGCGCCCAAAGTAAATGACGTAGGGACGATGTTGAGCACGCAAAAGAAAGCATGGTGGCGTGGTGCACATCGCAAATCTGACCTTACTACTTCGTTGGGGCGGCCCTGCCCGCCTCATTTCTATTCCTACCCTATAAGGTATAGCGATTGGGACATCGCCACCGCGGCGACATAACGCCTAAAGTAAATGACCTAAGGCCGAAGTTACGCATTTAAAACAAAGCGTGGATGCCGGACAGTTTGTGCGCATTGCAAATCCTTTCACTTTGATTGTGAATTGTGATTCAAAATTTTCACTTTGGTTGCAGCATCCCGCAGCAATTTTTCTTATGGTAATATACATGAACTGACGCTCGCGTCGCTCGTCGCCGTTGCAAGCCAAGATAAATACCTTCGGCCGATCTTGGGCATTCAATCGACGTCACGTGTGCATTGTAAAATCCCATCTACAAGATTCACTTGGCTCGCAGCATCGCGCTCCGGATTCCGCGTATGCTAATTGTACATGAAGATGGCGCTCGCGCGTTGGTCACCCACCATTCACTGCCAATATAATTTTCTTCGGCCTCACTCACTCACTCACTCACTCACTCACTCACTCACTCACTCACTCACACACACGTACACGCACAACCGCAATAGCGTACAATGGCGTAGAGTAAAGAAATGTATTTGTAGAAGAAAACAAGCAACAGTGTGTCGATCCTTCCCCATTGTGCTACGACACACAGTGTTGACATTATCGTAGGGCAGAAATGCTGCGCTCTAGAGTCGCGCTGGTGACTGGAGCAAATGCTAAGAAGCGCAGGACACGGCAGCTGTTAGGGAATAGACATGAGTTTGAAGATTCTAACGTGTCCACCAGCGTTCTTATTAGTTACTCTTTTTTTTTAGATTTAGTCGATCTGGTAAACCCACACCAAATCTACCCAATGTAACGTAAGGGCGAGTGAGTGAGAATAAGAGTCGGTCAGCTCAAAACAATTGCCGATACACAGAGCTATATATTGTATTTCAAAATACTTCTTATTATTTACTTGATTCATACTTATGCTTATGATTAATATATGAACAAACAATCACACGTTTATTGTAAATATTGAGCTAATATACACATATCTGGTGCGACAACGTCTTTCGTCGTTTACTTGCTTGGTGGTGATATTCAACTTCCGAGTGGTAAATTACGAAACGAAATATAAACGGAAGCGGGTATATTTGTTATTATTATTTTTATTTTTTATTTTTTATTTATTGTTTTCGTGGTCGTGTTAGGCATTTTGTATAAATAGGCACACACACGCACGCGCGTGCACGCGCGCTCACCCTCCTAACACACACGCGGACTTACATGCGTGCGCACGCGGGCACGCACACACATTTGGTGGGCATAATATAACAACTATACTGGTGCATTACGCCGGGATGAATACGGATAAGTAGAAATTATAATTTTTGTAGAGTGATGAGTGATCGAAACAGTACTAGATGAACTTTTTCTAATTTTTATATTAGCAGAATTCATAGCTCATAAATTTCTGTAAATGATCGATGTAATGGTTTATAATAGGGATACGGGCGCGTAGTGATCTTAGCTCAAAAAAATTAATATTATTATTATTATTATTATTATTATTTTATTATAATTATTATTATTTGTGTGGTCAGAAATAAGGGAACAGAATGTCAAGTAAACAAATTTATATTATTGAATAGGCCTACGTGCGAGGGTTAGGCTGGTGAATGGTAATCAGCAATCGCCAGTGTAAATAACTAGCCTTAATGGATATAGGTACTGAAAACTACTGAATGGTAAGCATGCAGTCCATATGTTCTGGCTGTAGTTGGGACACTGTTCACGCGCTTTAACTATTATTTATAATCTCTAATTCAATAATTCTCTGATGATTCTCCGTTTCATTATAATTCGAGACTGGTATGATGAAATGGTGCATGCGTATGCAAGCAAAAATTTCCGATTTCGCTCCAGCTCCAGCGATAATAAGTACCGCGGTGGTTGTTATATAGTACCCACCCACAAATTTATTCAATTTCGAGAAATGGTCCTGTATTTCAATTGGTGTGAATGATCGACTAGTATATATACATACATCTCTTAGTTCCTTCTCTCCTCGTGGAGAATAGGGCTGGAAATCAAAATTCCAAAATTCTGAAAATAATATTTGGCAGCTTTTTCGGCCTCGTTCCATGTAATTTTTTCTTTCTCGACTGTCCTTCGCCATGTTTCCCTTGGTATTCCCCTTTTTCTCTTTCCCTCCGGGCCCATGTCTGTGTAATGCGTGGATTTTCGTCTTTCTTCATTCTGATAACATAATTATTATGGTGATTGCCATGCATATCTTCTTCTTCGCAATATACATAATATTGTATATACATATATATTATATTCTACGCTACATATATATAAACCAGTCATATATATATATATATATAATAATTATATCATACATATTATGTGCGCAGCATAGAGGCAATAACGATGAAATAACCCGACACTTTTTTCCGTTTCCTTTTTCGATATGCATGCTGGGATAGTTCATGACGTCATGACAGCCAATGAAGAAGAATGTCATGGCGGATAGGGCTTGGCCGTGATGAATATATATCGGAAAATCCGCCCAATTTCGCTGCCTCGCCAAATCAAAGTTTTTGAAGTGGCTTTAGCAGTTAGTTAGCCATGTCTAAGCAGCGTTGTACATACTGCCAGACGGACGTCAAGGGTGTAGGATTGAAATGTGTTGACTGTGAAAATTTTGACCTTTGTTTACAGGCAAGTCACGTGATTCGTTGATATTTTTAACGGCTATTATAGCTACACATATTTATTAATTCGACGTTTATTGCACTGAATGTTAGTGAATTTATCGGTCCAGATGATATTTATAGATTTCAGATGCAAGTTCATGCAAACTAGTGTTAGATGACGAATGATACTGAGCTCCCAAATTGGGCTAATACAGTAGTAGCTCTACTGTCATAGCCATAGGGTCTATGTCCCCCAGGGTACTGCCGGAACGTACCCTGGTCACTATTTGATATGGTTAGTGGTGCGCTCCTAATTATAAATACAGGTCTACTGATAATGATTTATTACATAAATCTATGCTGAGAGACCCCCTGACCATAAATAAATAGTCATCACAAATTAAATATAACTCTTCTGGTGAGATATTGCGCATGCGCTAACACACGAACGTAGCCAGATTGTGTACTGATCTTGACTGGTATATGCAGCGCGGACCTTACATGCCATAACATACCATAATATCTTCTTCTTATTTCTTAAGTAAGGTCTACTGATGGAATGTTATCATATAAAGCTATCTCTTCATTTCAAATGCATAATTATTGCATAATATTAATTTTCTCGGAAGATATTGCGCATGCGCGAACACCGTTATTAAATCACCGAGTTGCACTCTCTCCCTCTTTCTCTTTCCCCCTCTTTCCCTTACTCCCCTTCTCTCGTTTTCTCGCGCGCTCTCTCTCTTTCTCGCTCGTTCTCTCTCGCTCTAGTGAAATGAACAATTTCAACAAATTAATATGAATGTGTAAATGACGTACGTGGCGCGCCTGCTCGGCTACAGTAATTGAGTGGCAACGCAGAGGTTACAACCTTTTTGCAGCTTTTTTTCACAATTCCAAGAAAGAGTTTTGCTGTCGCCCTCATCTCAGCGGTGGTCACCCTTACACATTCAATAATGAACCCGACCTAAACAATACCCCCCTGTGCATAGTCATGTGATAGTCAGAATGAAGGCTGTACATGTACTCAAAAGTATCTCAGATACCATTTCCCACATACAGACACGTGCCGCAGAAACGCGCGCGCAAATGGTCTCCCTCTGGGTGGAGGGACACACCCCTCAGTGATGTTCTCTGATTGGCCACTTGGCAAAAAACTTCCAACCAGCCAACTCCGAGTTGGCGAAATTAGAACATGTTCTAATCTTCCAACTAGTTGCTATCGATCGGTTGGACCATAGATATAGAAGAAGATCATCTTTTATATCATCTTCTATATATTCTTCTATATCTATAGTTGGACGCGCAACTTTTGCGTTTACACTGCCGATTGTCCGTTGCGAAGTTGCGAAGTTGGTACAATTCGGCAATTCGCCAACACAAAGTTGGCAGTGTAAACCCTGCTTTACAGACTACAATAGCCTCGTCTACACGACGAACCTTAACTCGAGTTAAGCGTTAATTCGAGTTAGCGATTATGTAGCGTCTACACGACAACACCCGATAGCGATTATTACCGATTTATTATGCATGCGTGCGTGCGTGTGTACCCCGGGGGACATAGACCCTCTCAGCAGTACTATAGGCATAGCATAGGCTATAGACATAGTAGTATTAGTACCTAGCTCGCGTACAGTTGTCGCAGGCCTGCGTCAACTGCACGCGGGCTATAGTTACTAGAGCTAATACAGTACAGTAGTAATAGGCCTAATATAATACTATTACTAATACAGTAATGTAATACTACTGAGTACTGTCTAAAGTAGCATAGGCGGTTAATCGATAATGGGTAATCATTAATGGACTATGAGTATGAGACACTTGCATTTAATCTTGCATTGATCCTACGGTAGAGGTGTCACCAGGGTCACGATACGATAAGTATCTCAAAATACGTAGGTCATGATATGATATGTAGTCGTAGGTATCGCGATACACAGTCAGAAAGAGAGATTGTGAATTGCATGCTATGGTAAAGTTGTTAATACGAAAAAACACTATATATATATATATTTCTAAGGTTGAAACACATTGAGATGTTCTGACTGCTCTTGATTGACCTGTTATCGATAGCTCTACTCACATGCCATGCACAGTGCGGTTCAAGGATAGAGATGATGTCCAGGACGGTGATAGGATAGGATGATGTTTATTACTGGACATGCTCTCTATCCTTGAGCCCACAGTGCTACGGTACGTGCACAGTAACAACACGCACCAGTCAGTCAGCATCTTATTTTGCGGTAACAATTTTAGCGGCAATACAAGCGCGCCACATATATTGACTTCGATTTCTACATCATCTGGGAACATTTATGTGATACTAAGAGGGAGTTCATACCTATAATACGAGAAAGAATTAAATTTAAAAGGAATGACATGTGCTTTATAAAATAGTTTAGCTTGCCTTATTCAGTGTTTAACATCCATATCGTTTGTATCGGGGTACAGACGCTACATATCGATTATCGTATCATGGGCCGGTGTATTGCGATTCACCTATATATCAGTGAATCGTTATACCCCTAATTCTAGGTAGCTTTTTCGTATGGCAGGAGTGAGAGCAGTCGTTGGTTGAAATCAGTGACATGATCTATTCCCATCCAAGCCATTTTTCATACCGAATACCGGCGCCCAAATTACGACCCCTAGCAACCAAATTACAAAATTCATAAAACGCCCAAATTAGCAGAGCTCTGATGCAGCTCTCCATGTTTCTATCGTTATATAGGCACTGTTTTATAATAAAATGCTCATAAGATCTATAAGCTATTATCTGAATAAAATGTGTCGACCAAACGCCCAATTTAATGTGATAGATAAGTATATACATTTGAATTTCCCCCCCCCCCATTTTGAGTCCCCATATTAAGCAGCTAGGTAAGCCCCTGATATGCCATATAGTGTTTGTCCTCATTCATTCACTTATACACATACATGCATCGTGTTGCATTCTTTTTCGTTTCATTCTGAGGTGTAACGCCAAACAGGTAGCCAGTAAAGTGTACAAACAGTCACCCTACAATACACAGTGTGCCGATCGTACTGTAGAATGTAGCAGTGGTGTGATTCAATTAATCTGATCATCTCCTCGGGTTTATAAACAACTTAACATCTGTATCCTTATATCCAGGGGTATATAGCCTAGTAGTAGTACTTCTAATATGGTAAAACATGAATATATAATTAGTCGGGTGCAAAATCATAGTGTGTGTGTGTGCGCGCACGCATTTGTGTATGTGTTATTATTTAATTGGGTCTGAAATGGTCATGATTCTGTACCTAGATACAAATATGAGACCCTCAAGAATATGAGTAGTATAGCACCTTATACTGTTGCGTTACGTATATATGTATTTAGGTCTAACTTGACCCCAAAATATTCATACACAACTCGTATTTATTTTTTTGCAGTGTGCATCCTGTGGAGTTGAGATAGGAAAACATAAAAAAAATCATGATTATCAAATTGTGGTGAGTAGATTTTTTGCAGTGGATACTTCATTTCATAGTTTATATATATATATGTATATAGAACATATTATATGTATCATGGATTTAATATAATTTATGAACATAAATATGGGTGCATGTGTATTAGAATTCAGTCAGCTAATAGGCATTATATCTTAGTGATGAGGCAGGGGCATCTATAGACTTGTATCGAGTAAACTTCCATTACTTAGGTGGGAAGTCCAAGTAATAACATGTGGAACAGGTTTGTTGGTTCATTCTGTCAGTATTTTTGTACAGTACTTGGGGTAGCTGTGCCTAAAATGACAGCGCGCAGTCACAGCTTGCTTGCTTACTGTATCAGGCTCTGCGTGACACCCAGTGGTGGCTTGTGTGCAGCCACTGGAACAATAGCATATGCTGCAAACTGCCCCTGCGTGCAAACAGACAATGGTCACTAGTCCCATAATGAAAGCCCATAGGCATGGTGCCAGATGTAAATGGCTTTGTTTTCACTGGTTGATATTGAATCTTTGAGGCTGTCTGTCTGTCTGCACACATTACAGTGGGTGCAGTTTTGTATAGGGCTCGTATGTGAACATGTAATGTTGTAGTAGGAAGTATAAACATGTGATGATCTGATGTTCTACAGACATTACTTTAGCTGCGTATGTGTTATGGCTGCAACGCATTGTTTACACGTGTGACATGATCATGGGTTCTCAGAGGCGAATTAGAAAGCGGAGAAAGAAAAAACAAAGGTTAAAGAAGTATCTGGGTCCCACTGATGATGTTAGTAAAATTCTATATATTGTACATCTAATGCACAAACTTGTGTGTGTACATGTGTTAACTTCCATCGCTTCTAAATAATAATGTGTAAATGGTGTTATTTCATCTCTGAGGTTATTTAAGGCAATTTGTGTATTGCAACTCAACTGTATGTGTGGCATGACACTGGACTTTGATATTTGCACTTGTACATATACAATGGTGTTAGTAACTCAGATAAAGCCAAGATGACAACGCCATGTAGGTAATAATACTGAGCTGTGGAACAATATTTGACTAAGAGGCAAGTGTGTCAACAGAATGTGTTCTCTCAGGATGGTTGTAATCTTGGTTGCATGTGTTTTCTTGCAGGACAATGGTAGATTCTCTGTGTTTGATACTAACTCGTCCTGGACGGCTGCGGAAGAGATGCTCCTTCTTGATGCCATTGAACAATATGGCTTTGGAAATTGGTGAGTTTAGGTTCTCTGTATGCTGTAGTATCAGGTTGTGCTATTCAGTGGGAGACTTTGCAGTTGCAATGCTATATTTATTGATATAATCTCTGTGTGGTAATATCAGCTACCTATGAATAATATTCGTTTTAATATTCCCCCTGTAGTAGTTGCAATGCTGTATTTATTGATATCATCACTTTCTGGTAATATCAGCTACCTATGAATAATATTCGTTTTAATATTCCCCCTATCTAAGTGTGCCTGTATTTTTTACTTTCAGGGAAGATGCAGCAGCTCATGTCGGGACTAAAACTGCAGATGGTATGGCAAATTTTATGATTACTAGCTATCAATACAAACATTTTATTTATAGATTATTTCTCTATCTTGATGTATTAAAATTTAGAATTCCCACAGCTAAATGTTTAGATGACTAGTTTGTAGCTTTTATATACAGCCTGTAATTCCATTTAAATTTTTATGTAATAAGGAAGTTTGTTTCATTCAATTTTATTGCAATCTAATATCTGTAAACTAACATTTTTGTACTGCCATGTACTGTTATTGTTTGGATGGTTATTTATATGGTGAACTTAAAATTGCATTCCTCAGATGAAAAACTATCATAATATATACGCACTGCAATTTCTTGATTGCCACGTAAAATTGTCCCCGAAAACACCACCTTTAAAGGCTCACAATGTGCATCCAAACGCTAATTTCTACAGTACTAGACTAGCAAATACTTCGTGGCATGAATAATCACACTACCTTATGACAAAATAAACTCTAGCTCCTCCAATTTCACTGCGCGTTGTCTTATAAAAGGTATTTTGAAAATACCTCCAATGTTGTTGAAATTCTCCGATGTTGTTGATAGTTTCCCCAATCTCCAAGCAACCGTGCAGCGGTGGCGCGGTACAGCGGTACGGGCGCAGCAAAGATAGAAACATGTGACGTCACCAAACCAAGTCGATGTTATGTTGTTTGAAACAAGTTAGCGTTGGCGCCTGATTACCTGATTTCGCACCTCTTTCTTGTTGGGAACGCGCAGTCAAATGGGAGGAACTAGAGTTTATTTTGTCATAAGGTAGTGTGATTATGCATGCCACGAAGTAGTTGCTAGTCTAGTACTGGAGAAATTTCAGCGTCTGGATGCGCATTGTGAGGCTTTAACATAGACAGTCCTTGTGAATTGATGTATATAGTTTGCGAAATGTAAACAGACTGCCATGTCAATTCATTCCAATTTACTTGAGTGTTCGTAGGTGGCACAGCAGCAGCACCACCTGGGTTTAGATTGGTGTACACTTGTTAAACTATGATATTTTGTGCAACAATGTAATGAATTTGTTTAACTCATATAGTAAAGTAACGTCCAGAAAGTAATACGTTAATCAATCGTAATTTCATTAATAGATTTTGGCACAATCGTACGAGTTGTACGTTATTTACGTGCCATTTTGCTTGCCCTAATGGTAGTCGGATGTATATGCAGAGAATCACTAAAGTCACTGTGGAAATAATACTCGGCACAACAGCATGGGATGTTTTTCCCCACGTAAATCAGAGCTCATGGCAGCTTTTATATTGAGTCTATCGGATCACAATATTTTTACACAATTTATATGCACAAAATGCTTGCATAGAACATTGCTTCAATACTTACATTACAATACAGATACATTGATGAATTTGGGGGAAACGCAGCTTTAATGTGTTGCTATACAACATAGCATTGTTGCAATGAAATTTCTGATTAAGTTAACCTAACTTATCTTGCACACGTATGCTTTTCAGAAACAAGAGATCATTACTATGCATTTTTCATACATGGAAACATAGGAAAGGGTAATTATGTTTTTGCATTCTAAAGTATGATCACATCTACCCAGGGGTAGAAATTAACTTTTGAACAAGGGAGTCCAACGGACCCCTACCCTCAAAAAGAGGGAGTCCGCAGCAAAATAAGGGAGTCCTTTAAAATATAGCAACTGGGCTCAGTGTACGTCATTGAATTTGAACATGTTCCACTCTGTTACTATGTTTTATATTTTGATGCATGTAGCTGGGAGATCTCTTAACATCATCTCAACTGGTTTATCACTTGTTTCAAATGCATGACTTCTGGACCTAACTCAAAAAATCAAATTCAAAATCAACATATGCTCTAATGTAATTCACAATTTCACACATGATCATAATATCGGTGTTTAATATTGCAGTTACCTTGCCTACGGAGTCTGCAGTAGATGTAACAGACCACACTTGTCCGAATGGAGGTACTACTAGTCTGTAGTTAAAATCATAGTGTATTGTTTAGATATTGTAACTTTGTATTTATGATAAAACGTGATTCTCACAGATAAGATATTATTAAAAGTATATATTGAATTAAAGGCACATTTATCAACAGGTACTTGGATTTGGAATTAGAGGTACAGCTAGAAGTACTTATTATGCTGAGTTAGTACCTCATTTATAAGTCTTACCTCATGAACACTCGTGAAATTAACTAAAATGACTACTGTTAGTACCAATGTTGAGGTTCCTACCTAGAGACCCACCATCGAACTGGTCATGATACTGCAAAGGAGAGCGCATTTAACCGTGATCCGAAAGCTGATGCTAAATAATATACGAAACTGTTTCAGGTCCCCTATCACCCAGTCTAGCTACAAAGGTGACAGCTGCTGATGTGTCACCAGAGGACCAGAGACAGCTGGGGTTCATGCCACTCAGGGAGGATTTTGAAAGAGAGTATGACAATGAAGCGGAGACTCTAGTCAGTGTACTGATGATTACACATGAAGATGATGACCTAGACATAGGTAGGACATTCTAGCTAATACATGCTTACTCATGCGACCTAGATATAGATTGAAACTAAAAATGCACAAGTCTAACATCACACATTTTAAAAGCTATCGAATGCACACCGAAAGCTATCAATGCCCACCTACTAAATACATGTCCTTGGTGCCTATTTCAACCTCAGACGCTCCTTGTAAGTGTCGAGTATTCTGTGTTGGTGCAACAATGATAGTTCACAATCTGTAAAGTGTAATGTTGGTGGATCATTTATATTGTAGCCGTGAAGATGGCACAGGTGGACATGTATGTGCGGCGTTTGAGAGAGCGTGTACGGAGGAAGCGAATAGTCGGTGATTTCGGGCTAGTGCAACAGTTCTTCACAGCAAGTAAACAGAAGTCACCAGTTAAACGAAAGGAATCCAAAGAAGAAAGGTGGATATTACTAAAAACAGTTATCTAGGACCGTAGTTTAGCAGATTTTCAATTCTGTTATTTTTATTATTTATTGATGTTAAGCATCACATCAGTTATTCTACCTAAATTCATCTTGTCTAACTGCAATATAAATTTTTATCTAAATATGAAAATTGAGAGAAAGGTGTGCAATATTAAGAGTGATTGACTAGTGCTAAGCGATTTTTATGACTTGGAAGTTCACTAACAACTCTAGATTAGTTTAAGTTATGTGCTAGATCTATGAGTTGTCTGTGGAGTGTATTAGCAATGATACTGTAATTTGTCAACAACATAATATATTTGGTGATGGAATCCAGTGTGGTATATGTTGACTGTGTGTGCCCCATTCAGGTGAAGAGCGTATTGAAGTTTTTTTTATTCTGTATGTGACTCACATAGCTAAGTTTGCTGAATATTCCCTGGCTTGGACAAAAACGTCAGGCCATACGTAGGCACGTGCATTGATTCCCGTGCATTGTCTGCTTAATCTTTGCCCTGCTGATGGAATCTAACTTAAAACTTTTAAGTGTGGATCAGCAGAGATTGTAATCTGCAGCACAAAGGATTGGTCAAGATACTGAGTTGTAGTTAAATGCTTTTCTCTTGTCTCCTATTAGTGACAGAAAAGTTGTCTTAGTAGTCTAATAACCTGTAGAGACAGCAAGTTTGATCCTACATAAAACTAGTCTGGGCCTGTATTTTTGCAGTGTGTACACGCTATCCCGGGCTATGTACGCGCTAGTCCAGACTAAGTTGCCCCCCTCCCCCGAACTGAGGTGGACCATGCCCACTTCAAAGCATGCTAAGTTATCCGTGTAAATTGTGTGTGTTCGCAATCCAGGGCATACGCAGACTAAATTGTTTTAGTTTTTGATTTTCCATTCACTACTGTATGCTCATATAGTGTAGACAACTTGGTTCATAATATAATGGCAAATAGAGGTAGTAACTGGAACGACGAGGTAAATAGTCTGATTACAATTTGGCCAGAAGAATCTTTTTAGAAGGTATGAGAAGGCAGACATGGCAGTGTGCATGTTTATATTTCATTACTGGTAAAATGGCTGAATTAGATTATAATCGGATACCCAAATCGATTATATTCTGGTTGTAATTTCTGCTGTGTATTCAGTCACCTTTTTAATAATAATATTCTTCTTCTAGTATTACAGCAGCTCAGTGTCAGTGTAAATCATAATAATGCCGTCGGCAGTGCTATTGTTTTACCGACATTGCTGTCTGCTGTGTGACGTAAAAGGCCAAACTAAGCATGTGCAGTCAGTCACCCATGCTAACTTAGCCCAGTTGAATATTTTGTGTCTGTACACTGCAGTGTAGTGCTTGCTTGGCCCAGGCCTGGCCCTAAATAGTGTGATATAGGACCAGATTTTGCAGTCTGTACGAATTGTATAGTTATTGCCATGACCTGAAATATCCAGAAGGAAGGTCAACATAAAAGTGTGTGCTTAGATTTCTTTATAATGGTTCATTCTTTGTAAAATGGTTGTCACTAGTTTTCTATGGATAAGGAAGGAGGCCGGGAAGAACACTGCTGGGTCCCTGCTCATACACATTGTCTGTGCTTCTATGTTATAATATATGAACGTGGATAAAATTAGCCGGTGTAAATTTCCTACTTTCTGTGATTGTTCAGAGTTTGATTCACTCTGGAGGGAGTGAGGGCTTATGGGGTAGTTGCTGGAGAGCTGTTTTCATTTATCCATCCCCTGATATCTACCTATGATTAAACCCATTTGATTAAACCAGAATTGAATATGTTTTTAGCTGTATCATTGTATGATCTTAACAACCTATTTTGTTATTTTATATTTTTAGCAGTGCGTAGCTAAAGTAACTGGGTTCTAAATGTTCCTAAAATGTGCATTCTGTTTTAACAATTAAGAATAATATTAATATTATTCATTTGTGTTTTTTTCAGAGAATTCCATGATAAAATGAGACCATTTGCTCAGTTCCAGTCAGCCATTGAGCGTGAGCAATTTTTTGATGACTTGCAGCGTAAGTGTCCAAGCTAACCCAGTATGGCTACAGTACACGTCAGTTGAGCGCTGTCGCTCTGCGGCACTTGTTTGTTTTATAGCCTATTATATAACAACATAAACTCATAATAATTTTTATGCTGAAGCATCAGTAATATGTACGCTTACAGGTGAGACTAAATTTGTCTAAATTGATTCATTTTTAGATTTATGTGAGAAATGAAAGTTTTACAGCTGTACCTGTATAATACAACAACAACATAGCAGCAAATTAGTGAATTATAGTCAGCCAATGTGCAGTATATTTGCAATTCCACCACTGCAATATGGTTGGACCATCGAAAGTGCTGGACTGGCAATTGCTGAAAACGTCTAGAAGTTTCAGTGTTTTATTTAAAGTAAACATAGAAAACTAGCATTAATCAATATTGATTGGGCCGCAAACTTACATTTTGGACATTTAAATTAATTTGACTTGCCCATGTGGTTTTTTTCCCCTCTGTCAGGCACTAATAGTAATATTGTAAATCTTTCCCACACACAGGTGGCAGCACTGTGTACCTATAGTCTAAGTAATGATTTCTCATGTTTTTCCTAACCTAATAATTACCTTACCGTGGAAATAATTGCCGATACCGGTACTCTACCTCATACTAAGTGTATGCAGTAAGGCTCAAATGTCTTAGAATTAGAACACTCACTCGTCATTATTTTCATCAATATATGCACTGATCTGCATTTCAAAGTAAATCTGTTTACATTCGTTAGCATCACTACTATTGATAGCATGGGATTCTCATATCTTACAGGATACCATTGACTGGTACCAGGGTATAATAAAATTACATCACGGAATCGGATGCACTTGTATTTGTGGTGCTATTTTTATATATAATTTAATTTCTGCAAATCTCATGAACAGACCTGCCAACCCTTACGATTTTTTCGTATTCCTTACGAATTCCATGATGTTTCTACGAATGTACGATCAAACTGAAAATCTTACGATTTTTTACGACTTGTGAAAATTAATGTTTTTTACATTGTGAGCCGAGAAATATCTGGCGATTGTGGGCGCAGCATATTGGATCACGCGTTCACGTTGTTCTCGTGTGATCTAGAGTTAGTCCCATCATTCATTGCGCACATAGCATACAAGTAAAATGGCTGCCTGCTGCAATAAAAGAAAAGCCTTACTATTTTCATGAATCACAGGTTGGCAGGTCTGCATGAATTCAACCACATATTTGCTTGGTATTTATTGTTTTATGGCCTGTAATGGCAAAAAATCATCGTGATTTTTTCTGGGGTAATCAGTAATATGCCCGGTGATAGGTGAGAGTCGTGAGATCTGTTTTGTCTCATTTTTGGATTTATATGAGAGGGAATGGTTTTAAAACAGGATTAGATTCTTGTCACTTTGGTATATAATTTTATTGGCTATTTTGCAGATGAGAAAAAACTAAAGTCTAGACACAAGGAGTTGGTGAGATACAGAAAGCATGGCATTACTAAGTTTTCTGGTAAGCAATACTAAAGATCAGTAAAAATCGTGTGTGTGTGTGTGTGTGTGCGTGCGTGCGTGCGTGCGTGCGTGCGTGCGTGTGCGCGCGCGTGTGTGTGTGATTTATGGTATTCCATACATGAAATCTGAATTGATGGTGTAAACTGCATGAAGGACATTTTGATGTTTCGAAGTGGGAAGGGATGAATGCCATTCCTGATAAAATGTAATCAGTTTTTTAAAATATGCTAAAGATTGTTCTATACATGATCTTCAGCATTTATTACACAGCATTTGACAACCTAATCTATTTGCAGAATTAGATGATTTTGAAAAGTCTCGATTATTAATGGAGAAAAAAAAGGAGACAAGAAAAGCTGTGAGTATGTATTGCTATTTTGCACTCTCTTCCTGTAGTGAGTAATGCCAGCTGGCATACTCTATGACTTTTAAATGCACTCTTATATGAATAGAGTTTTACAATGTCTTTCCTGTGATAGAAATGCTTTGATAGTCACTTATATCACTTAATACAATAATGTATTGATACTCGTGATATAGTCGGTGGTCTGTATAGAAAAAATACACTGTTTATTTCCTCAATAGAATGATGAAGGACAGGTAAACCTTTTGTGGCAAGAAAATATGATCAAACTACTCGTCTGTAATTTCAGATAACATTCAGTTTAATTACCCAGCTTTGTACATAATGGAGCCATTTTAAATATTTATACTTGTTTTGGGTATACACTCTCGAAACATGATACTGTAGTTTGAATTTCAACACGACATCAACCACAAGTATGATTGCTGTCCTTCTTGCTGTTGTTCCCCTAAAAATAGGATAGTATCCATGACAATGTAATGCTGTGGTTGCCCTACCTGGTTCCCATTTGCACATTTCCCATTAATTATTTTCTGTACGTATCCCTCCCTGCTCTACATAAAAGACGATGATAAAAAAGTAAATTTTCATGGTCAACCACCTTTGAAGGAAGTTCCTTGGTGTCCCTCGCAACTTGTCTTTGTATCCTAAAATTTCTGATTAAATACATGTCAACACTTTCTCTACTGCACACACATTGTAATCTTTCCAACACTTCGTCGTTCATCTAGGGTGGAATGACCATCGGCATGTCCTTGGCAAGGCGAAGCACTTCAACCACATCAACAACCATGTCCTTAAAAAAGTCTGCAGCAGCAGCAGAGTACGTTGTGTGCTGTAGATAAACTAAATTTTATCGCTCACAATCTACCTTGAGTCTCTCTGTTTTACACTAATATAATAACACTGATATGAAATAATTTAAGCAAAAACTGCACTGTATTCTCATACTATATACTTTATATACCCATATTCGTTTGTTGTATATTCCTTCGTACAGAGAAAGCGGCGAACAAAAGTCGTCCTTGTTCGCAAAAGGCGGCGGCGGCAGTAACAACATGGGTCCGCTGGAGATCACCAGCCAGCATGGAAACGACCTGCTGTCTGAGAGGGAGCAAAAGGTACTGACAGGCCGTGTTGCAAACTCCACGACAGATGGCGCTCTCGCTCATAGGCTCAATCTACCACTGCCACAGATGGATTTCGGTTACAATTTGTAACGCTTTTTTACTACAAGTTTTACAGCAGGCACGTTACTCGTATCTTATGTAATAAGATTTGGACTAATAAAAGTTGCAAAGATATTAAAAATCCGACCATTATTTTATGAGAAATTTGATAAAATAGTGATACGAAATAGTGCGCCCATTTACTACTTTCAAATCATTACGCTGTTTACTAAACTAAGTTCACGTGTTTATTTAATATTTATCATAAATTTTTCGGATGCTTGCCAATATACCTAATTCTCGAACATTGTCTTTGATGCATTTTTGCGTATTCAGCTTAAAACATCTAAATTTGTCCACCAAATTTGTCCACCAACAAACATGCAAATAATAGAAATTTCTAATGTTCTGTTCGACGGCGACTTCGCGGCCGTTGGATTGCCATTTGCTGGTTTTCCCTGGAGCTCCGCCCACTTGAAAAATAGTGCTAGCCTTGTGGCAGTGGTAACCTGAGTGTGCGAAGGGGGGCGCTGCATGCAGTTTGGCCGTGTTGGCCAGTGAAAGCGTTACAGCTGTGTCTGTGTGATGAGTTGATATGTCTTTATAAAATTGATGCTATTATGGAGAAGGTAGTTTTAATAGAAGTAGTGTCTGTTATTACTACTTAAAGATGTGTATTTGTCATTTTTTGCAGCTATGCACTGCCATGAACCTGAAGCCTGCTCACTATGTAACCATCAAGACCTGTCTCATTAAGGTAAGTAATGCTCAGGTGCAAAGTTTTTTTACCTGACCATTCAGTCGTATATTTACTGCTAGATATGGGAATCGAGTAGTGTCCGAGTTGACCTAGTTGTTTAGATCTCTTTGGCTGTGTTTCTGTTTTTATAGTTTATCCTGGTCGGTGGTAAATGTGATTTTTTTGTCAAACAAAAAATTTATAGTGGGTTTTAATTGAATTATATGGGCATTTGGTTTAATTTACTGGACAGATCAGTAGTCTAGACTACCAGGCTTTGATTAATGATTCACCCTATGCTTGTGACACAGGTTTTATATTAATCTTTGGGAAGTTGGATTGTCACAGCCATTAATAGCAGTGACAGAATTTTTTAGATTAGTGTGTACGTGTAGAATTTATACTTGGTATGAATTTTGGACATTTTATACCTAACAGTTCTGTGTGTCTCCCTTAGGAAAGCCTACGTAAGAAGCATGGAGGTTCACTCAGAACCCACAGTATTGAGGGCCTGAGTAGAAGCAACAAAAACAGACTCCTTAGCTTCTTTGCAGAGAGTGGCTGGATATCTGCATGCTAAACAGTGCTGCCACCTGCAAGGAATACCAAGATGTTTTCGAATACGTTTTCCATAGTCTATTGAGGAAGAATATATTTATTACCTCTCAAATCAAATTACTTGTAGTCCATCACCACATGTCATGCTGTTTTATTGGAAAGTTTGCTGGCTTCGCAGCAGTCGAATCTAAACACTTCCACTGCCCTAGAACCACAACTTTATTCACCACACACCCTCAAAGTTGAACTATTGTCAGTCATGCGTTGTCTCAGGCTTTAGGATAATCTGTTTTCTTATACATGTACGAAGTATCAGCCTCTTCTAAAATGGTTGTTATCAAATTGACCAGTGTATGTCACACCACTTCAGATACTGCATGTTATGTTATGTAGCAAAAGTCATTGGCCTCGTCTTGTGCATTACTTGGCATTTCTGCTTTTTGTGGAGGAAGCATGGACATTCCAGCTGCTACGGTGAATAGCGCCACTCCCATATTATGTCCACATTCCAGATGAATAGCTGAGCAATGAGTAGGTGCACTGTGAGAGCGCTCTAAGAAAAGTGTGGATGATTTCCATTGGCTTCGCTCTGTTATAACCGTGGGGTAAAGCAATAAATATCAGTGCTTTAAACAGCAGATCAGCAATACTGTTTGCCACGATGATAAACTGTTATGAAGCCAGCCAGCAGCAGCTGTAGCACCTGCACTTGTGAGTGCTTTCACAGGCACAGCTGCATAAGCGCTATGTGTACGGATCGGGTGCCACCTCTGCGATGAGCCCATTGGAAGAATGTGCAGTCTGGAATTGGGCGGCATAGCAGAACTATGGTGGCATCAGCAGAGGCCCAAGGTGGTGCACTGATACAGATGATCGGTGTTTGTACATCGTTAGTATTGTGTCGAGTTACACTGCTCATTCTCAATCGCAAGTACAAGCGGTAACCCTTTGCGCACCCACCGAGGCAGGCGCTCATGTTTAGGCAGGAAGTTTCTGTGCTTAGACTGTGCATGTGAGATGCGTGATGCGCAGCGTTAGGGCGCCGGCTACGCGCGCAATACAGGGAAGCAGTGCATGGGTGGTCTTCATTGCGCATCGAGTCATCGTGGCCGTATGTTTAAAGTACAGCACTCGGTGGGCACGGTCGGCTGTTGAAAGCCAGCCACCTTTTCGTTGACAGTGACGTTGGCGTGACAAAATGTAAATCCACTCTTACATGCGTTATGTGACTTGAGCAGTGGAGAACTTATGGACACACCTCGTCGCTGGCTGAGCATTGAAACCCTCCTGCCTGAGTAGATTTTGGTGTATCCATTCGCTCTCCCTCTGATGCAGCGAGTTATTGAAACTAATATACGCCCCCACCTTTGCTAGAATTTCATCTTGGTATGAACGGGCTACCATATGCTTGGCGAGACACGCGTTTGCTACAGCAAACCATTTTTGCTTGGGTGGGTGGGGGGTGGGTGGGTGCGGCGGTTGAGTTTTAACGGGCGTGTCTGGGGTGTATCAGGGCCATCTAGTTACTTGAAAGCCACTGTTATAAGGAGGCGGTGGTTCCTGGACCCACTTGTACTGTGCACCGAAATGTTGTTCCTAATGGTTTTACTGCTGTTGGGAAATTTCTTTCATTTTCCTTTACGTAGGTTTGTGTCTGTTTTACCGTGATGGGTTTCGATGAGGTTGTTTTCATTTATTCAGTTGTTCATTCGAGTCAGTGCTTAGCGGCGGTTGTTGCATGCTCTCGTATTGCTTTTTTTATTTGATAAAGAAGCACGTTTGAAAAACAGGAAAGTGCAGATATCATAAACGAATGGTTTATTTCTCCCTGTAAAGCGCTCAAATTGCCCTGCAGTGCATAAGAAACTCCTGTGTTTTATGCCATGTTCAAAGATACCAGTTTAGTTTCAGTTAGTTTCAGTGACGTTCTAAACGCCTATTATTAGATTCCGTGCCATCCGTATGATGTCATAAACATGCCTCATTTGAGCATGGGTTTCATATTTCGCGTTTCTCTTTTATTGCGCATATGCCCACTTTGTAATAGTAGACTTGTTTTGTGAAATTTAATCCAACTAATGTTTGTTGGGTGTTCAAGGGTTCCAGCAACTTGCCAAAAATATCCTGGTCGGTCGGTATACAGAGGTTCTTTAGTAGATCCATATAGATTATTAATTTTTTAAGCAAGTAGTAATTGGCTGATCGGTGTCCCAGTTCTGCAACATATTGGTTTTTCGCACATAATCGCACTGCCTATGGTGAGTGATCATCCATGTATATAAAAGCTGTAAACTAAAATATTTATTGTGTATATATTTCGTAAAGAAGACATCAAATTATACGTGGCACGGCGCATTTTCTACATCATCTCCACTGTTTGTAATGAAACTGCAAAATGTATTTTTGTAAACGATCAGCTGGATACGTGTATAATTTACATGTGGTCAGCATTAATGTGTGTTGAGTTGTAGTAATTTAGTATGAAGTTTCCTTTTAAACTTAACACCGGAAAATTTAGTTGATACTTAGGAAGCCATTTCACATAGGTTCTCGTGAATTGTCATCTCATAGGTCGTCTTATCGTGCGATTTTTATGTGTTTGAGCAGGTGATGCCTTCTTATATAAGCGTTGATATCACAACCGTGTTGTGAACGTGGCAGTACTGCTAATTTTTATCGTAGGATATCGGTGAACATGGTGGCTAGTTCTCTGTTTTTGTATAATTTCATGTTCAACAAGTGATTTAAATATATGTTTGTCCGTACAAATCATTTTTCGATGTGTTCTACATGGAAACAGTTCTTCCTGAATTCTGGTGGATTGCTGTCAGTTTTTTTGTTTTTACCGCACCAGTTCGTTGTAACATCACTAGTTTAGTAGCCATTCGGATACTACGGTTTATGTAGTGTCGTAGAGCCCCACCCGTGTGTCATTGTGATGTTAAACCTTGTTTGTGTGTAATGCGCACGTATTTTGAATCACCCTGTTAGCCTTTCGTGCACTGTTTTTTAGTCGTTCTGCATAGTCATGTATTTATATTAGCATAGAACACGGGAAAGTATCAGAGCAATGTTTGTTGTCACACTCACATATAAGGTTTCTATTTTCAACGGGCAACTAAATAATTGTAATGGCGTGCATAAATGATTTCCACTGTCTGTCTATATATGTATGCAAATACAACTGTTTACATATGTACGTGTGCTTGTTTATGGCAAAATGTTTACAATCTGTAATAATGCAGAGGTGGCATTTCACACCCACCCTGTCACGCGTAGACGCAAATCTTGCATCTTATAGGATGTTGCCAAGAATATATCAGACCAATTTTCTCATCTATGTGCGATGTCACACATTCGCAGCACATGCCATGTCTTTTGCTGCTCTGTCAGCTACCGCAAGTTAGTTCGCGAAACGTGTTGGTTGCGTGTGTGAAAGAAAGATTCATTTAATTTGTTGGAAAATTTTGAAAACAAGATGGGCATATTATGGTTATAACACTTCGCATTTATAAGTTGGTATATTTCTCATCTCAGTGCCTAGGTTAAAAGCATCAGACTTACTGTATGATAGGTCGCAGGTGAAATTAGTGTGGTATTGTGTTCTCTGAATTACATTTCAAGAATGTAACGAATGTTTCTTGGCGAGGTTTATTTTCTATCAAGTGTTATAATGTTAGGTCTGCATGGCGTCTCATATATTTATGCATCTTGCAGGGATGCGTGCCACAGTGGCTGGTTTTATGTATAACCCAGGTACGAGCGCGCATTGTGGCGTTATTGTTGATGCATTGTCGGCATGAGATACCCAGTGTAAATACGCAATTCATTTGTACCTAACAATAAAACTATTTAAAAAATAATGTATGTGAATTTATATGTCTCCGTACCTGAAATATGTCACATTTACGTGGAAGCACAAACGTTTCCTGAAAATACGGTACTGGGGATGTGGCTGTAGTGTTGCTTGGGACTTGAACTTTGAAAATAGTCAGCCCTCTAGTTTAGTGTTGGTATAAATTGTATTGCAAACTCATCGGGGAAAACCAATTATCTTGTGAAATATATTATATTATATATGAATTTTTCTATATAATTGATAAACTCTTCTTTCATTTTGTGGCCGCGCATACCATGTTCAAACACATGTACTATACCTGCACGGACTAATATATAAGATAACCTTATTTATCTTTATTACATTGATCTCGGGTGTAAACAAAACGTCTAGCATTTCTCTTGGTTTGCAGACCGTCTTGGTCTAGATCTGCTTCTCTCATCTTTTAATTTCCCACATTTAGCGCCGCAGTGAGCTTATCAGATGTTAGTTAATTAATCATACTATTAAACAGTCAATAACTATAAACTATGTCCAGTGATAACATAGTAGCAGCGTTCAGATGGATACATTGTTTGGTTGTAACGACTACTATTTCGCAGTCATAACCAAACCGTTCGATTGTTACTGAAGTGAATCTTTTAACATTTGGAGGGTTTTGTGCAACTGAACACGCAGACATGAACTTACGTACGCACGCGTACTCTCAAATACAAAGACGCGCACTCGCGTGCGTGCGCATGCGTACGACGTGTGTACGCGCATTCTCGTTGACCGACTCACCCGAAAAACAAACACTGTTTTGAAAGCGGATGTTGCCCCGGAAATAATGGTTTCTTCCGCGGCTTCGAAGTGAGTGGTGAGAGAGTATTGACACGTCGAGCCAGCTAAGATAAGTAAGTATATATCTATATATAGTTACAGAATCATGCATTACTTTTAATTGTTTTGATATTAATAGCATTTTAATAGCAGACAGAATCTAATTTATACTTATATGTAGAATGCTGAATGTCTCTCTTATGCTCTTATCAATGCCGGCCTGCCAGTAGATATAATTTCTACGTGCAGTTTTCAACTAATGCCTGTATGGTTTATTCGCACACTACCTACGTATTTTCTTTGTTACAATAAGTTAGTTCATTCATATATATATATATATATATATATATATATAGTTCCTGTTAATATCACAAATATGTAAGTTTTGGTATGCAGCATTAATTGGCATTGTCCTTTTGGGGCCTTGGGCATGGCTATACATGGGATGATTTCGCATCACAAAACATATATTAGAACAAATATGGTAGTCTTTGCGAAAACCGAATTAAATATGACCTCATATAGTAAACACTGCAATGTAGAATATTATGTCCAATTAGCAGGAAAACTTCTATAAGTGTATTCTGAAAACAAACAAGGCAGAGTGTATATTATAATCAGCAATACAGTGTAAGCTTTAAAAGCTTAGGTTAACTGAGATGCTTGCTGTTACGTGTATAAAAACTAGAATATAATGATATTACCTACACAGAAAGTGCCTAGCTGTTATAATAACTACAAACTTAGGTGGGCAAGTAAATATAAGTTCAGATGCAATTCGTGCTATATATATATATTATATATATATATATATATGATATATAGTTATGACTCATATGGAACGCGAAAATATAAACCAAACAAAACTCCCTATTTTGTTTAGGCTATATACAATTAGAGATGTGAATATAGACTGTATTTCTCGAGTACCATATTGCACTCATGTATATTACTACTGTACGAAAATGAGTCAAAATTCAGGGGGTTTAAATTACCACGTTTCATAGTATCAGCAACTGGTGGCGGTGTTGCAGCGATAAAACAAATCCACTCCTACTTGCCCTCAACATAGCATATGAACTTATGGGTCAGCTTGGGCGGTTCCCTGTATTTAGGGCAGGTGGGGTTGGTCACACTAGAGGATGTATGTTGCTGCCAGGAAGTGCTCAGCATCCCCACTTCCGACATCGATTGAGAATTTAGCTTGACCGCAAACGTTATCTATCAACATATCCCTATAGCCAGGTATCATCCATGCACCCATAGAGTGCTATATACGCATACAGACCCATCAGCCGTATTGGTTTGGCCAGTGACGTACGTAAACGTTTCGTGGGAAGAATTCATTGGTGCAATATATAGCGTAAGTTATATCTATATACATTCTAGCATTTATTTTGTGTGTGTATTTTTACACGGTATATTTTTAGATGAAATGGCACTTTACCGTGTTTAGTACATGCGCTTGACTGATTTTATCATTATACTCTCAAATGAAATTTGAAATATTGCGTGAAATGGCATATCGCTTGGCGTATATGATTGGCATGGCATATGACATTCAACAGAATGAATCGATGTGGGGAGGTGCGCGTTTTTAACGTTTCTTAGTGATACGTCCATACTCATCAATGGTAATATAGCTTACGCGTTTATCGCTATAAGGCATATGGCATTGGCAATGGCGTATTTGATTGATTGTACATTCGTATTACTATAACTGCTTGTATCTTATACACACGCGCGCGCGCGCACTCACGCACGCACGCACGCACGCACGCACGCACGCGCGCGCGCGCACACACACACACACACACACACACACACACACACGCACGCATATATATATATATATATATTATAGATTCCTTGGAATTTCGCCAAAATAATACGCAACTTGCTGATGTATACGTAGCGATTACATAATTTTCGTGCTGTTCATAATTTTACTACATTATATAGGTGTAATATACCTGCTCGGAAATAATGTGTTGAATTACTCTCAAATCAATATTATATTATTATGATTTTAATCATGTTATCATTTATTACAACAACAACAACAATAATAATAATAATGCTGAGTTAATATTATCGTAAACGATTAAAAGTCTAGTCAAATTAACGCTGTTTAATGAATAACATAACACTAATTTCATATTTCATACATAGAATTTCTGGTTGCGAATGACCTAGTTTTTACTTTTTATTTATATAATATCAAGAGCTAATAATACCTTAAGGTATAAGCTAGGTCGTAAGGTATTAAGCTACCTATAAGGTATTATTAGCTCTTGATAATATCTATATTAGATGTAATCAGAATTTAAATTGCGTTGGAATTGGAGAAGGAAAGAATATAGCGAAATTGACGAGAGAGAAATTTCTAGCTTTTTTAGAGCAGGATGTGCCATATGTTTCTTGCTCTCTCTCTCTCTCTCTCTCTCTCTCTCTCTCTCTCTCTCTCTCTCTCTCTCTCTCTCTCTCTCTCTCTTTTTCTTTGTTTCTCTCTTTTTTTTTCTT